GGATTATTATTAGTGTGATGTTTATTATAGATCTAACAGGTTGTAGAGATCTATAGATCAAGGAGGAATTTCTTCACACAGACGGTGGTGAGAACGTGGAATTCACTGCTGGAAGCTGTGGTTGAAGCAAAAATTATTCATGTGTTTTAAGAAGAAACTTGGTGCATACATGAGGAAGAAGGGAATAGAGGGGATTAGAAGGAGTGTGGGCTCATGTGGAGTATAAACAACAGTAATAATAACCCTTGCATTTGATATTTATAGCGCCTTATTGAGGCATTGAGACGTCTCAAAGCATTTCACAGAATATACTGTAAAGTGAATTGACTGTATATTTTGTGGGCAGGAGATGGCAGCCAATTGCGCACAGCAGCGTCCCACAAACAGTCGTGCATTGAATGACCAGATTTGTTTTGGGTGGAGAGGGATTATTACTCCCCAGAAAGCGATTCGCCCATCGACTAGCAACCGGGTTCCTACTTACTGCTAGGTAAACAGAGGCGTGTGTGTGTGTGGAGTACGGAAACTTGCCTAAGGTTTCACCCTGCCCAGGATTCAAACTCGGGTCCTCTCGCTTACGAGGCGAGCACTCTGACCACTACACTACGGGGCTCCACAGATTAGCGGGGCCGAACATCTTGTTTCCGTGCTGCAACGGGCTGCGTAATTCTGTGTAGCTCTTCCTTAGTGTCAGCCAGACCTGCTACTCGCTGCACTAATTGGCCACGGAGGACATTGCCAATGACGGCTACAATTCTCAGAGTGAATCTATTCGCCCGGAGTTGTCATGCGCTGGTGACCGTCAGCTTCTTCTGGCATCATGGCACCCAGCTTTGCCTCGCTGGGTTTTCGGTGCCAAGGTGGAGGGTGGGTTCATTGGCTTGTTTAGTCAGGAGGATCTGGGAGACATGCCATGAGGCATCAGCCAACCCACAGAAAACGGGCCGGCGGGAGAGGTAAAAACATTTCAGATTGCGTGCAGCGACCTTCCAAGGTTTGGGTCAAAATATACCATCGGTGGTCGGGCCTTCAGCCTCTCAGCCCCCAGGCTCTGGAACTCCATCCCCCAGTGCCTTCGCCGCTTCCTCCCTTTCCTCCTTCAAGGCCGGTCTCAAAACCTTTCTCTTTGACCGAGCCTTCAGCTCCCCTCTCGACTCTCTACCCCCTCCTCGCTCCCTCCCTCCCTTCCCTCCCTCACCCTGACCATTTCCCCCCTCCTCGCTCCCTCCCTTCCCTCCCCTCACCCTGACCATTTCCCCCTCCTCGCTCCCTCCCTTCCCTCCCCTCACCCTGACCATTTCCCCCTCCTCGCTCCCTCCCTTCCCTCCCCTCACCCTGACCATTTCCCCCTGCTCGGGTCATGACCCAACTGTGCAGCGCCTTGGGACGTCCTCCTGACGTGAAAGGCGCTCTATAAATGGAATCTTGTTGTTGTTGTTGTTGTTGTAGCGCAGGTAACAGATATCAGTGAGCGAGCTTGCAATCACTTTGAAGGTTCCAGAGTTTCGGGGCGTGGAACGGAGGGCGCAAGGGTCGTGCAGGAGGCTGGAGCCAGTCGAGGGGAGGCAGCGGGTAGTGGGTTGTGGGGGGTAAGCAGGTCGGAGAGGTAGGGGGCGAGTCAGAGCGTGAAGGGATTTGAAAACAAGTGTGAGGGTCTTGAAATCGATCCGTTCGGCAATAGGTCGCCAGGATAGCAGGTCGCTGCGTTTGAAGCACATGGCATTAAATTGTTCAAGCGGGAACTTGATATGTACAAGACAAAGAAGAGAATAGAAAGCGCAGGGGAGGAGGGGGCTCCAGCGGAGTATAAATGCTGCTGAGGAATAGTTGGGTCAAATGGCCTGTTTCCATTCCATAGCACTTGATGTAACTAACTCTCCCTTGTAACTTTGGGGATGGGAGATCAAGTCATTGCGATCTGTGTACTTCTACAGTTCTCTAGCGACCTCGGCTGGATATTTTAGGCAGTGAAGCTTCAACAGTCAGTCACTGAGGTCTGTCGCGTAGTGGTCAGAGCACTCGCCTCGCGAGCGAGAGGACCCGGGTTCGATTCTCAGGTGGGGCGAAACCTTAGGCAAGTTTCCTTACCCCGCACACCTCTGTTTACCGAGCAGTAAGCAGGAATCCGGTTGTTAGTTGATTGGCGGATGGCTTTCTGGGGTAATAATACCTCAAAAAAAAACAATAATGCTAATTTAATCACTCAATCCATGACTGTTTGTTTGGACGGTGCTGTACGCAATTGGCTGCCGTGTTTCGTCCATAAAATATCCGATCAATTTATTTTACAGTGTATTCTGTGAAGCACTTTGAGGCGCCTCAGTCATTTGAAACGCCTTTATTTTGATTGAAGGCAACCAACCCTTTTCGATTGGTACCAGAGAGAGCGACACACGGCTGATATTTAGGGAGTATTTATTACGGTGAAGTGTCACAGCGGCGGCCAGTGGGGCATTTTGCTCGGCTTAACCGGATTTTTGCCCGATTTACCCGGCGTCTGGTTAAAGGCGGATTGGATTCCACTGTATTTCAAACCTGGTCGAAGTGCATTGAGCGTAGACAGCGTATTGCCAAAGGCTCCCGCAGGTTTGCTTTTGTCCTCTCCGTTGTGCTCCTCATCACTGTCCACCTCCATCTCCTCCTCTCCCTTCTCGCTTTGGCCGTCATCGTGGGCATGAGCATGTTCCTTCACTAAGGCAGGCTTGTCTGCTGTTCCGCCTGCCAAAATACATAGATAGTTACAACTAAACCCTGCAAACAAACAAAACGGATACCCCTCTCGTCACTTCAGAAACAGAGCGGGAACCTAGAGGGCTTGGAACAAGATTTTGTACTGTATCCTCTCCACCCACCGCCCCCCACCCCCACCCCAGCCCACAAACGGGCATTTAGTCACTGGCAGAATTTTAACATTTTTGCATTTGATCTAAATCATGTCCATCGAACCCTAGAAATTTACGGCACAGAGGAAGATCGTTTCTTCTGATAATCCGGTCACTCAATCCACGGCTGTTTGTGGGGACGCTGCTGTGCGCAATCGGCTGCCGCGTTTCGCCCACAAAATACACACTTTACAGTGTATACTGTGAAGCGCTTTGAGACGTCTGGAAGACGTGATAAGGCGCTGTATCAAATGCCACGATTGTTATTATTATTATTATTATTATTATCCGTCTCTCAGACACGTGGCTGACCAGACAAAAAGTGAAGTGGTGATGCACCCGGTCTGCGCATGTTTTGAGGAGCTCAATGTTGGGGTCCATACCCCAACTTACGCTATAAATGAACCCGCGCGATAACCATCCAGTGTCAAACCACACGGCTGTTACGCGCTCCGCTCCCACAGGTTATCTGCGTGAAGACGCTGTATAAATGCAAGTTGTCATTGTCATTGTTAATGTATTAGATCAGGGATCTACTGTAGCTCACCAGTGCCATTGCCAGTGCCAGTGCCATTGCCATTGCCATTGCCATTGCCAGTGCCAGTGCCATTGCCATTGCCAGTGCCATTGCCATTGCCAGTGCCGGTGCCATTGCTAGTGCCATTGCCAGTGCCATTGCCATTGCCAGTGCCATTGCCAGTGCCAGTGCCATTGCCATTGCCAGTGCCGGTGCCATTGCCAGTGCCATTGCCAGTGCCATTGCCATTGCCATTGCCAGTGCCATTGCCAGTGCCATTGCCATTGCCAGTGCCATTGCCAGTGCCATTGCCAGTGCCATTGCCAGTGCCATTGCCATTGCCATTGCCATTGCCATTGCCAGTGCCGGTGCCATTGCTAGTGCCATTGCCATTGCCATTGCCAGTGCCAGTGCCATTGCCAGTGCCATTGCCATTGCCAGTGCCATTGCCAGTGCCATTGCCAGTGCCATTGCCATTGCCAGTGCCATTGCCATTGCCATTGCCAGTGCCGGTGCCATTGCCAGTGCCAGTGCCATTGCCATTGCCATTGCTAGTGCCATTGCCAGTGCCATTGCCATTGCCAGTGCCATTGCCAGTGCCATTGCCATTGCCAGTGCCATTGCCAGTGCCAGTGCCATTGCCAGTGCCATTGCCATTGCCAGTGCCATTGCCAGTGCCATTGCCATTGCCAGTGCCATTGCCAGTGCCAGTGCCATTGCCAGTGCCATTGCCAGTGCGAGGGGAACTCTTCCCGTTAGGGTTTAGTTCGCACATTAATAGGAGCATCGCGTGCGTACCCTGGCACTGTGGGACTGGGGCGCTGTGTGTGTGAGTGAGTGTGACCGGTGGGGGGCGCTGTGTGTGTGTGTGTGTGTGTGTGTGACCGGTGGGGGGCGCTGTGTGTGTGTGTGTGTGTGTGTGAGTGTGACCGGTGGGGGGCGCTGTGTGTGTGTGTGTGAGTGACCGGTGGGGGGCGCTGTGTGTGTGTGTGTGTGAGTGTGACCGGTGGGGGGCGCTGTGTGTGTGTGTGTGTGTGTGTGAGTGTGACCGGTGGGGGGCGCTGTGTGTGTGTGTGTGTGAGTGACCGGTGGGGGGCGCTGTGTGTGTGTGTGTGTGTGTGAGTGTGACCGGTGGGGGGCGCTGTGTGTGTGTGTGTGTGAGTGTGACCGGTGGGGGGCGCTGTGTGTGTGTGTGTGTGTGTGAGTGTGACCGGTGGGGGGCGCTGTGTGTGTGTGTGTGTGAGTGACCGGTGGGGGGCGCTGTGTGTGTGTGTGAGTGACCGGTGGGGGGCGCTGTGTGTGTGTGTGTGTGTGTGACCGGTGGGGGGCGCTGTGTGTGTGTGTGTGTGTGTGTGAGTGACCGGTGGGGGGCGCTGTGTGTGTGTGTGTGTGTGTGACCGGTGGGGGGCGCTGTGTGTGTGTGTGAGTGTGTGTGTGAGTGTGACCGGTGGGGGGCGCTGTGTGTGTGAGTGAGTGTGACCGGTGGGGGGCGCTGTGTGTGTGTGAGTGAGTGTGACCGGTGGGGGGCGCTGTGTGTGTGTGTGTGTGAGTGTGACCGGTGGGGGGCGCTGTGTGTGTGAGTGAGTGTGACCGGTGGGGGGCGCTGTGTGTGTGTGTGAGTGAGTGAGTGAGAGTCAGTCGGTGACCGGGAAGCGGCGGTTTCGCTGCTGCCGAGGCCTCGGGTACTGCAGTCGGTGCCGCTCACACGGAGCCGCGGCCTCAAAAGATGTTCCGAAAGTCGCGGAGGAACTTCAGGCGGAGGAACGACTCGGAGGAGGAGGAGCGAGAGGACGGAGGAGGCGGCGGCGGCGCGGAGGCCCAGGCTCAGGCCTCGGGCCCGGGAGAGGCCGCCGCCGAGGCCTCGGTCACCAACAACAGCCACGAGCGGGGAGGCGAGGCCGGGGCCGCGGGCGGCGGTGAGGGCCCGGGCCCGGGCCTCGGGCTGTCCTGCGGGGCTGCCGCCGGGGCTGGAGCCGCGGGGGGCCCGGGGCCGCCGCCCCTCCCGCCGCCCCTCCCCGCTCCAGGCCCCGCCAAGGCCGCCGCCGCCGCCGCCGCCAGGGACCGGCGGAGGAACCGCGACAGGGAGGCGCCCAAAGCCGTACTGCTCAGCTTTAAGGACGAGGAGGAAGGTAATCATCGTCGTCGTCTTCATCATCTTCATCTCGTCGTCGCCGTGTGCCGCTTCTCCCACCAAACGCACAGTCACTACACTGCTGCTGCTGCTGTTGGTTTTTTCCGAGGCGGCGGCGGCGGCTCCTCTCGCGCCTCCGAAGCGCTTCGCGGGAACGTACCGTCAAGTAGAGGAGTGTGTGTGGGTGTGGGAGGGGGAGGGGAGGAGGGGGTGCGGTGGGGGGAGGGGGACGGTGGTGGGGGGGTGGGGGGGGGGGGGGGTGGGGGGGGGGGGGGTGGGGGGAGGGGGCGGTGGGGGAGGGGGGGGGGGGGGGGAGGGGGGGGGGTGGGGGGGGGGGGGGGTGGGGGCGGGAGGTGGTTGGGGCGGGGAGAGTGGGGGTGGTGGGGGCGGGGAGGAGGGGGTGGGGGGGGAGGGGGGGGGGTGGTGGGGCGGGGAGGGGGGGGTGGGGGCGGTGGGGGGGGGGGGTGTTGGGGGGGGGAGGGGGGCGGTGGGGCGGTGGTGGAGGCGGGGGTGGTGGAGGGGGGTGGTGGAGGCGGGGGTGGTGGAGGGGGGGTGGTGGGCGGGGGGGTGGGGGGAGGAGTGGGGTGGGGTGGGGGAGGGGTGGTGGGGGGGGGAGGGGGGGGTGGGCGCGGAGGGAGGTGGGGGCGGGGGGTGGGGGGCGGAGGGAGGTGGGGGGGGGGTGGTGTGGGGGGGAGGGGGGGGTGGTGGGCGCGGAGGGAGGTGGGGGGGGGTGGTGGGGGGGGGGTGGTGTGAGGCGGGGAGGATGGGGGTGGTGGGGTGGAGGGGTGGTGGGGGGGTGGGGGGGGGTGGTGTGGGAGGGAGGTGGGGGAGGGGGGTGGGGGCGGGGGGTGGTGTGAGGCGGGGAGGATGGGGGGTGGTGGGGTGGAGGGGGTGGTGGAGGGGGGTGGGGGAGGGGGGGTGGTGAGGAGGGGGTGGGGGGGGGGGGTGGTGGGGGGGGGGGTGGTGTGAGGCGGGGGTGGGGGGTGGTGGGGGTGGAGGGGGTGGTGGAGGGGGTGGGGGGGGGGGTGGTGGGGCGGGAGGAGGTGGGGGGAGGGCGGGGGTTTGCGCGAGTTGAGAGAGGAGGTTACTCACCGTCTTCCTCTTCTTTCCTTCCTTCGCCCGGGGCCGGACCCTGACGGCCCACCCCCCCCCCCCACCCCACCCACATGCGGTGTTCGGGCACCTCCCCCCCCGCCCCCCCCCCCCGCGTGGGACGGTGGTCGGGCACCTCCCCGCCCCCCCGCGTGGGACGGTGGTCGGGCGCCCGGTTTCGCTCCGGCTCAGACGTCTCGAACCGCATCGCGTGGCGAGGGTGACGAGGCGGGGCCTGGGCAGGGCCACACACGTGGCTCGGCCGTGAGGTCTCCTGACTCTTGAGTTCCGCTGACGGTTTCTTTTTTCTGGAAACCCGTCCCCGCGCTCGATAGTCTCCGAACCCGGCTGAGAATTCCACGTATCCCACCCCACGCGTGGAAATCCCCGGAGAGGGGTCGTCGGAATGGAAATCGCACTCTCTCTCTCTCTCTCTCTCTCCCTCCCTCCCTCCCTGGAGGGACGCATTCCTGCCGACCTAATTCCGGAGAGTATCAGGCGCGAGAGCCGAGGCTTGGGGAGGGGGAACCCCAGTGTGTGAGTTGGGGGTAACCGCTGGAGTCTAACCAGCTGAAGCCGTGTAGCTTTTGCCATTGGGAGCACCGTCAGGGCGAGCTTTCCCCGGCTGCCTGTCCAGCTACGACCGCCCTACCTGCGAGGGCGCGTTGGGACTTGGAGCTCGTAGAGTGTGGGCTGACGCGCTTGATGCCATGCGGGGGGAGAGGGGGGGGTGGGCTGCATTGTCGGAGGCGCCGTCCCTCGGAACAGCCGTTAGAACCAGGCCCCCCCCTCACCTTTGTTTAGGTGGATGAGAAAGACACCGTGGGCGCTGTTCAGAAAATAAGTAAATAAATAACAGTTTGATCACTGAATCCGCGAGTTTGTGGGACGCTGCTGTGTGCAATCGGCTGCTGCGTTTCGCCCACAAAATATAACGTCAATTCGCTTTGCAGTATATTCTGTGAAGTGCTTTAGACGTCCCGAAAACGTGATAAGCCCCTCTGTCAGATGCCAGGATTATTATTATCATCATCTCACTTTTTTGCCAGTTTTCTGCTTTCATGTTTCACGTTTGACTCTTGCTCGGATAAGGTTTCTTCTCCATGTGTGAGCCCTGTCAATGGATAGGTGTCAGGTTATTTGACCATGGAGTGCTTCACAGCTAAGCCTTTCCTGACCATACCTTCACATATGTGCATGAGAAATCATTAGATAATAATCGAGCAAATTGAAACCCTTGCTGGTTTCTCCTCACGCCCCCCCCACCCCCCCCTCACACACACACACGCGCGCGCAGCGTTAAGACACTACCTATCAACCTGTCTACTCCCTCTGCTCAGCAGACTTCGGCCTTTTTGCCCTCTTCCTTTGCCTCCTTCAAGACCCTCCTCTTCAATCTCACCCTCTTAACCCTACCCACCCTGCCCTCTACCCCTCCTGATCCCAACCCCCAGCTCAGGTCCAAATCCCTAACTCTGCAATGCTTTGGAACGTCCTCCAGACGTGAAAGGCGCTGCACAAATGTCATTTGTTGTTGGTATCTAGTAAGTCACCTGCAGACACGGGTTGGTAGTTTGCTGTAGGAGTTTTACTCTCAAGCGGCAACGTTTTGTTAACAGCAGAGTTCAAATCCGTATTATTGTCCAAACATGATATTGGAACAGTTATAATTGGGGAGTGGGAAGCTGACGAGGACAGCACTGAGATCTGATGCTGTTTTAGAAGAGCACAGTATGGCAGTGCTGCTGTCTATCTGTATTATGCATATGTTTTCTATTAATGTGAGCTCATAGTCCAGGCAGCTGCATTGTCAGAGGTGCCGTCTTTCAGATGAGACAATAAAAACAAGTCCTGTCCCCCTATTCAGGTGGACATTAAAGCTCCAGTGGCATTATTTGAAAAGAGCAGGGTCCCTGGGTCCTGGCTAACAATCCCCCCCAGATAGGGAAAAAAGTAGAAATCCCCTTCATGGCTGTTTGTGGGACATTGCTGGGTGCAAATTGTCTGCTGTGTTTGCCTGTAAAATACGCAGCCACGGCACTTTAAAGCAAAATTGAGATGTTTCAGTGTGATGAAGCCCTACATCAAATACAAGCATTATTATCATTGATATAACACAGCACTGACCATAATATGGTACCATGTTGTCAGTATCATCTTATGAAAACAGTTTGTGCTGTGTTTAAAATACAATACAAAATTACATTTGTATGGCATTTTCAAGTCAGGAATACGTCCCAAGAATATAAGACTAGCACAAATACCCTATTATGTGGAAGTAAATGGGTTATTGTAAGTAATTACAATGTGCTAGTGTGACTCTATCATGATTCATGATATATGAAATACTAGTCCGCTGTATTTCATTTTAAATATAATAATAATTCTTGCATTTGCAAAAGCCTTATCACATCGTTTAGACTTCTCAAAGCGCTTCACAGAATATGTGTAAAGCAGTGTCCCACAAACAGTCATGGATTGAGTGACCCAATTTTTTTTGATGGATTATTACCACCGGAAAGCAATCCGCCAATCGACTAACAACCGGGTTCCTACTTACTGCTAGGTAAACAGAAGCGTGTGGAATAAGGAAACTTGCCTAAGATTTTGCCTTATCTTGGAACCAAATCTGGGTCCTCTCGCTTAATTTTATATTTAAAAAATGTTTAATTTTGAAATATGGCGACGAGATTGTGGCAGCAGCAAATCAGTGTTAAAATAAACCAGGAGCTTGGTTTATCATTGTTGCTGCTGAGGTGGTGGGGGGGTTATTTTGTAAACTTACCATTTGTGTGAATGAGAAGCAACTATTTTTCGGTTTTCTTTTTCTACAGAAGAGGAAGAGGTTTTCAAGGTGAAGAAATCGAATTACAGTAAAAAGATAGTAAATAAACTCAAGAAAGAATACAAGGAGGACCTTGAAAAATCTTTAATAAAGTGTGAGCTGAACTCTCAGATAACAAGTGAGTATAAAATGTTGCGGAAGCTTAATATTTTTGTACTAAAAGATGGTGAATTCCGGTACTACCAGAGTTTGTTTTATAATAACAATACTTCACTGGGCCCATCTTAAGAGACAGAAGACGATTGAATTGCAGGAAAGTGAAGCAATTACATTTGTTTTGCGCCTTTCACGTCATTCAGATATCTCAAAGCGCTTCACCAGAATATATTGTAAAGTGAATTGACTGTATTTTTGTGGGGAAAATGTTAAAGTCGGGTCCCATCTGTTGATTTCGGTCAGCGTGAAAGATCCCATGGCACTATTTCGGGAAGGATCATGGTTTGTGTTGATCGGTACAGATCTCTTTGCCACTAAATGTTCGAGACCTTTCTGGTCTGGGATCATTCCAGGTGCCCATATGTCAGCTGCAGGAGTCCTCAATGAAATGATTTTGGATCAGTCGAGGTCCAGTTTGCAATGAACATGAGTCTATTGCACAGGACAGCCCGGCATTTGACACACTGCTCTCTGTCTGTCAGTCTCACTGCACCCAGTCTGTACTGTCTATTGAAGAGCAATTCACTGGGGGAAGAAATCCCCAAACTTTCTTTAATAACAATCCTTGTATTTATGTTGAAAGGATTTACGTTAAGAGGACCTTGAGAGGTCCTTGACCTCGCTGCTGACTTTGATACCTTTGACCACTCCATCCTCATCCAGCACCTCTCCTCTCACCTCAACTTTCATGGTTCTATCCTTGAATGATTCAGATCGTACCTCTCACACCGTCTCCACTTCATTTCCACAAACGGTTTCTCCTCTAGCTCCCCTCCGTCTCATGCTGCGTTCCTCAGGGCTCGGTCCTTGGTCCCCTCCTCTTCAATATTTATGTGCTCCCTCTTGGTGACATCATCCGCAGACATGGGGTCAACCTCCACATACGGATGACACCCAAATTTATCCCTGCCTCTACCATTGACTCCAGGACCACTGCTGTCCTGACAGAAGCTCGGTCGGACCTCTTAGTCCTGGTTAAGAGCTGACCACCTTCAGTTGAATATCAACAAGACCGAGGTCTCCTGATTGGCTCCCATCCACCATCCCGATCACCATCCACGGATGCACACTCCCCTTCGCTGAACCAGTCTGGAACCTTGGTGCCTTGTTTGACCCTCAACTGTCTTTTGTACCCGAAGGTGCCTTACCGCAACTCTGCGACATCGCCCGGCTTCGCCATCGTCTCACACCGCAGGCCGCCAAAACCTTCATACACGCATTCGTAACATCCAGGCTTGATTATGCAAACTCCCAACTTGTAGCCTCCCCAACTCCTCCCTCCATAGGCTGCAGATCATCCAGAACTCTGCTGCCCGTGTCCTCTCCCGCACCAAACTCCGTGACCCAATCACCCCCATCCTCGCCCAACTCCACTGGCTTCCCATAATACTGAGGACACAGTTCAAGATCCTGGTCCTCACATTCAAAGCCCTTAATGGCCTTTCTCCCCCCTACCTCTGCAACCTCCTAACCCCCTACCAACCTGCACGCTCCTCCATTCAGCGGGCTCCAGCCTGCTTCACGTCCCCCGCCCTGTCTGTCCCATCGTTGGCGGGCGAGCCTTCAGCCACTCTGCCCCTACCCTCTGGAACTCCATCCTGCAATCCCTCCGTCTCGCTGGCTCCCTTGAGTCTTTCAAGATCCATCTCAAGACCATCCTCTTTGTGCTTTCGATCTCCCTGCTTCACCCCCTGCCCTCCACCCTCGCGATTCCCGATCCCCAGCTCGGGTCCGAAACACTGTCCAGCGCCTTGGGATGTCTTCCTGGTGTGAAAGGCACTATACAAATATAATATTGTTTTTGTTGTTATATGAAATGCAAAAATGCTTAAATTTTGCCAGTGACTAAATGTCCATTTGTGGGGGTGGGGGGCGGTAGGGGGAAAGGATATAGTACAAAATCTTGTTCCAAGTCCTCTAGGTTCCCGCTCTGTTTCTGAAGTGACGAGAGGAGTATCCATTTTGTTTGTTTGCAGGATTTGTTGTAACTATCTATGTATTTTGGCAGGCGGAACAGCAGACAAGCCTGCCTTAGTGAAGGAACATGCTCATGCCCACGATGATGGCCAAAGCGAGAAGGGAGAGGAGGAGATGGAGGTGGACAGTGATGAGGAGCACAACGAAGAGGGCAAAAGCAAACCTGCGGGAGCCTTTGGCAATACGCTGTCTACACTCAATGCACTTCGACCAGGTTTGAAATACAGTGGAATCCAATCCGCCTTTAACCAGACGCCGGGTAAATCGGGCAAAACGCCCGTCCCCATATTCTTAACTTGTTTTAAATATGCCGGGTAATTCGCATCAAAAATCCAGTTAAACCAGACAAAATGCCCCACTGGTCGCTGCTGTGTCACTTCACTGAAATAAATACACACTAAATGTCAGCAGTTGTGTAGGTTTAGTTGCCTTCAATCAAAATAAAGATGTTGTTTCAAATGATAAAAGTATCGTAAAGCAGCTCTTTGTGACTCCTTAGGAGAAATCCCAGATGCTGCTTTCATCCACGCAGCTCGCAAGCGAAGGCAGATGGCCCGGGAGCTTGGGGACTGCCCCCCAGTGGAGACGGAGACGAGTTCGAACCGCCTGATGCGTGAAGACGAGAACGACGCGAGCGACGACGACGATGAGAAACACAGGATCGTGTTTTCGGTGAAGGAAAAAACGCAAAGACAAAAGATCGCGGAAGAAATAGGTCAGTCCTTTCTGTCGATAGTTGGTCACAGGGTCATTCGAAATGCTCTAATTTTAAATTGGGGCAGGAGGAGGAGGTAAGCAGGGTGTCCTTGGAGCTGAACTGGCTCCAAGGTGATATGCTCGGCATTGGAATGTCAGAATGGCGGACTCGGTATTCCGGTTTCTGAGCCAGGAGGATCCGTAGTATTCCAGGGCACTGCTGATGACACTGCCATCCTGGCTTGTCGGCAGGATTTGGAAGGGCAGACCAGTCGCTGGGGTCGAGGAATCATTCCACTCAGCTCCTGTTAACCCTGCAAGCCAAAGCCCTAACAGGTCCTAGCTGGACATCTTGTTTTGTGGTCAGCCGGGTGCCTGACCCCTGCGGAAACCCATCACGTGCTTAAGAGTATCCAAATCAAACTGAGATTTCCATACATCTCACCACATGGAAATCCCAGAGATGGATTGTTGGAATGGAATGTGCACTCTCTCCCTGGAGGGACGCATCCTGCTCACCTAATTCCGGATTAAGCATAGGTTGGCAAGATCCAAGGCTTGGGGGGACCCCAGAGTGTGTGTTGGGGTAACTGCTGTAGTCTAACCACCTAAAAGCATCGGGAAAGCTTGGCACATGAGAAATTGGTTTGCAAAAACGTACTTAAGAAAAATAAATCAAAATACTTCTTGATCTGAGCATTAAGAATGCCAAAGCATTACACCGTTTGATTTCTGTGCATGACCAGGGATTGAAGGAAGTGATGATGAAGCACTGGATACAACGGATCAGGATGAGGAACTGAAGATATGGGAACAGGAGCAGATCAGGAAAGGAATTAGTGTCCCTCAGGTCTGTATGTCCTGTATTTAACCTAGCACCTGTGTTGAAGCGAGTTATTTACTTGTGTAGACAATTCAAACATGAGGCATTGATTTTACGATCAGAGTTACTATCTTATCGCACTTTTTTTTGTAAACGTGAGAACATTTCTAGACTCGCATATTTGAACTGTCAATCAGGTCCAGGTTGTCTTGCCTCTGAGACAGGAAGCTGTGGGTTTGAGGCCACTGTCAGGACTGTGAACTCACAGTCTAGGCTGACACTCCAGTACAGCGCTGTGCTGGGGATGTTCTGCGTTGTTGCAAGCGAGAGACCTGGATTCGATTCCCAGCAGAGCGAAACCTTGGGCAAGTTTCCACAAGCCTGATAATAATCCCTCAAGATAAAAAACAATAATAAATTGGGCACTTCAATCCACGACTGTTTGTGCGCAATTGGCTGCCATATTTCACCCGCAAATATACAGTCAATTTACTTTACAGTCTATTATGTGAAGCGCTTTGAGACATCTAAAAGACGTGAAAAGTGCTATATCAAATACATATATATTTATATATCAAATATTATTATTATTTGGATGTTAAAAGATCCCACGGCACGATTCAAAAAGAGAAAAGAGTTGTTCCAAGCGTCCTGGCCAGTAATTGCCCAAATAAAATTGGTCATTCACTTCATGGTTGTTTGTGAGATGTTGCTGTGCGCAAATTGGCTGCCGGGTTTGTCTAGAAAAATACAGTCCGTACATTTTACAGTAATTCCTGAGAATTGCTTGACGCGCCCTCCAAATGTGGAAGGTGCTATATCAAACGTATATCAATTTGTTTTCCCATTTGAACACTGTTGAGTGTTTAGTTTTATGAAATCAGCATTCTGTATGTTAACAGAATGTCGCTGGTACTGTTAGCAAACTGGGTGCTGGTTCTGCATCCTAATGTACAACAATAATATGCATTTATACAGCACCCTTCACAGGGATAGCATCTGAGCACTGAACAATGCAGACAGTACATAGAGTCCTTTCTCTGAATGAAATTGCTTTAGTTAGTGAATAAAATTGCTTAGTTAATCAATGTAATTGCTCTGTGTTGGGGGAAAGGGAAAGAGAAGAAGTGGTACGTAGAATGTTTTAAATCAACAACAGCAATAAAATTCATTTGTATAGCAACCCTATATTACATAAAGAATTGTGCATTTTTACCTTCCATCATCAGAAGGTAATTTTTTCCTCCCCCCCCCCCACAAATGTTACAATCTGGGATGTACTGCCTGAAAGAGTGGTGGAAGCAGATTTGATAATAGCTTTCAAAAGGGAATTGGATGGGTTCCTGAAAAGGAAAAATATATAGGGTTTTGGGGTAAGAGCCGGGGAGTGGGACTGGTTGGGTAGCTCTTTCAAAGAGCTGTCACAGGCACGATGGGCCAATTGGCCACTTTCTGTGCTGTAAGATTCAATGAAATCTTGAAATAAATGCTTTTTTCAAGGTATTTCGTTTCCTATAAGAATATTCTGTCAGATCCCAGATGGTCCTCGTGCGTCACTTTTTTGCAAGTACATTAATATCCTTGAAATGTATTGTTTTGAAAGTGGGTAAATGCTGATAATTGTGTCTTTCTCATCTAGGTGCAAACCAGCCAGCCTACGGACTCCGCTAGCATGTACTACCAGAATAATTATCAGGCTGTACCATATGGTTCCTCCTACAGCCTGCCGTATACCTACGCCACCTACGGAACAGTCGAGCCCAAATCTATCAAGACAGATAATGCTATTCCTTTCAAACCTCCCATTAATGAGATGCCTCCTGTTACTATTGATTTGGTAAAGAAACGCCTTAAAGACAGGTAGGGCAGACCAGCTCTCTCAAACAGGCTTCTGAGACCTGTGCTGTAGCTTTCTATCCTTCAGGCAAAAAGCAGCCTGCTGAAGAAGGGACCTGAGCGTGTCGGGGGAAACTGCAGCCATTCACTAAGCAGCGCACCTCCAACATGAGAAGATGGCCACTACTTGATGTCGTCTTGGAACACATCGGTTAAGACTGTATGAATACAGTCTTTGACCTTAAGATTGCAATAGATCTTCAGTTCTAAAACTGTTCTCAATAGCTTTAAAGAATTTGGATGTTGGCTTTATACAAGTGTGACAAAAGGCAAGGTTTCAGTGACTAAAATGCTTTCAACATATAATCTAATTTATACTGTAAGGACATTTTATCTTGACCGCAATAGAGAATGTTCCTCAGTACAAAGGAGGTGGTTTCATCGAAAGGAGCTGTTTAAAGAGATATGCTTTTTTTTAACCAATTGAGTTAAATTTTGCCTTCAAACAGTTGGTGAACCTGACAGTAATTGCTATAAAGTACTTTGAGACCTCTTTGATGTGAAAAGGCCGTGTAAAAATGCAGATTCTAATTTTAAAGCAAGTCCGTTCACATTTATCTTGGCACAGTGCAGTGCCAGAGATGAACATCACAAAGGACTGAAGTCTATAACGTAATGACAGTACAGTATTGCTGTGGTAATATATAACAATACAAATTGGCTGCTACGTTCGCCTAAAATTCACAGTCACTGCACTTTACAGTATATCCTGTATAGAAGTGTTTTGGGTTGTCCTCCAGATGTGAAATGCATTGTATACTAAATAGCAGTATTATTATTAACATAGTATAATCCAGAATCCTTTCTAAAATGAGACTAATCTGGAATTCTGACTAGGGAGGTGAGGTCGGCCCTGTTAAAACGGATAATAAATTTGATCGTCTTTTTTTTAAAAAAACTCATAAAACCCTCAAAATAATCTTTTGGCCCCTTAACATTGATTTAAAACTCATACCGGAAATAGAGGCAAAGCGAGCAATATGGGCTGCAACCATCTCCTGTTGGCCAGTATGTGCAGGGTGCCCTTTTGTAGTTCCGATGATACATAATGAGAGTGTGTTGGGCACTCCGATTAGGAGAGAGACCTGAAGAAGGGTGATCTTGAAATGAAACTGGACGGAGAGGGAGAAAGGGTGGGAGAGAACAAGATGTGCACAAAGTTTAAAAATGAGATATTTGTCACTCTATGGCATCATGATAAAGTGAATGTAATGCAAAATTGGATGAAGGAATGAGTTTATATCCAAATTTGCAGACAACACAAAGATAGGAGGCACAGTAAGCTGTGCAGATGTGAGCAGGAAGTGATTTAGACAGATTAAGTGAGTGGGCAAAACTGTGGCAGATGGAGTTCAATGTAAGAAAGTGTAAGGTCATCCACTATGGATCCCCCAAAAAGTGTCCCCTCCCCTCCCAAAAAATGACATTGAAGATTATTGATCCTTGTCTGGGATCTTCCTTTTTTTAAAATAAAATTTCCCCCTAAAATTTACCCTTTGGTACAGTTTCACAGGCACTTCCAAAGTACTGTACTTGCCCAAGTACTTCAGTAGGCGTGAACCTAGAAGTGAGTTGTTGCAAGCCGTTAGATTGCAGAAGTTTGATACAACCTCCCTCAGTGCCCACATAATCTTTTCCAGCATAGCTCGCTGGCCAGCAATCAGAAGCGAGGAACCTTGTTTTTTTATCTTGACCCATACCCGCCCGTCCAAGGCGGCTGATATCAGCTAACACACAGCAGAATTGGAATGTGCAGTCTTTCCCTTAATTATCTCTTAAACATTGTCCCCTTGCACCAAGTCACATTGTGGAATATGTACTCTGTTGTAGAAACAACACTTTGCTATCTAGTCCACACACAACACTGACTTGGTTCAGTTTCTGTCATTGAGTTTGAAAAGGTCAGCGCTAGAACCGAAGAGGGCATCAAAATAGAAGGAAGGGCAGACGGGAACACATCTATAAAATGAGGATAGTGTAAAATGGAATTTGTTTTCAGGATATATTTTCTCTGGGGTCTGTACGCAAATGCCTTCGGGGTGGGTTATGTGCAAGAGGTTGAAAATGACTGTTCATTGGGGTTGAAAATGATGCTGGTAAAGCGACGCAGATATTATAAACAGCAACTTATGTAGGGAACGCACCTAATATATCAAAACTACCAGCGAGAACTGTCCTCTGGCCCCAAATTGCTTTGGAGCCGAGTTCCCACTTTGTTGGCCTGAAGTATACGTCCTGTCAAACCACCATTCTGACTCGTGAAGTCCTGTAGCTCATTGGTTAGAGCACTCGCCTTGCAAGTAAGAGGGCCGGGTTCGATTCCCAGGCACCGTGAAATCTTAGGCAAGTTTCCTTACTCCACGTGCCTCTGTTTACCTAACAGTAAGTAGGAGCCCAGATGCTAGTCGATTGGCGGATTGTTTTCTGGGGGTAATAATTCCTTCCCCAAAGTAAATAAATAATAATTTGGTCACTCAATCCACGACTGTTGTGGGACACTGCTGTGTGCAATTGTTTGCTGTATTTCGCCCAGAAAATATACAGTCGATTCACTTTACAATGTATTCTGTGAAGCACTTTGAAAGTAAATGGACTGTATATTTTGTGGGCGAAACTGTTAAAGTATATTTTGTGAAACGCTTTGAGACATCTCAACGACATAATTTGGCGCTATATCAAGTACAAGGATTACTATTATCATCATTCCTACTGCTTTTTTTCTAATGAGAACCTTTTCAAATCCGGGTTTCTTTGCTACCGTTTGCAATATTTTTCAGTTTAAATACTATGCTGTTGTCTTCTGTGCAATTGTCCTCTTAAATTATACTTTTATTAGTCATACACTTTGTACAGCTCATGGCTCCCAAAGTCTGTTAGGAGAGGATGCTTGTATTTTGACACTATGGAGTCAGTGTCACACTGTCTGTAGACCTAATTGATGGCTCTTTGTTTTGCAACACAGACTTCATGCAATTTGCAAAGATACTAACTGGCGTTAGAGCATTAGCAGCATGTAAAAACATTTTTTGAAGATGACAGCATATTTGATTTTGGTAATTAAAATATTCCTGCATGTTCTTTCAAAAGCCTGTATCCCAAATAACTTTCATGGATTGCTGTTGTTAGGTTGGATGCAATGAAAGACCTGCACAGAACAAACCAGCAGAGGCTTGAAAAGCTTCACGACGATTTGGAGAATTCCTCCAAAGCAATAGAGCGACTTGAAGGCATCACAGATGACAATGGACGGTACAGGTTCTTTCAAGAAATGCGAGGGTATGTCCGAGACTTGCTTGAGTGTTTCAACGAAAAGGTAAGTTGAAGTAATTGTTTTGGACTTCCTGCTTGTAAGTAAAGAGAATTCATGTCTTGTGTATTGAGGGTCCTCACCATGAACACCATTTAGTGATAAGACTAACTGATCTGTGCCCAGCGGCCGAGTGAGGCATTTTGCCACGTTCTGCCAGGATAGTGGTAAATATCCTTAGGCAGCTTTAAACCTGTATATCTATGACATCGATGGAGGCCTAAAGCAGTTTTGTATAGTAAAATAAGAAATTAATGCAACAATAAAAAAATTTGGTCATTCAGTCCACAACTGTGTGTGGGACACTGCTGTGTGCAATTAGCTGCCGCCTTTCGCCCACAAAATTTACAGTCAGTTCACTACAGTGTATGCCGTGAAGCGCTTTGAGACGTCTCGAAGACGTGATAAGGCGCTACATCAAATGAAAGGATTATTATTATTAACAATAGATTAAAACCCAGGAAAGATTTCCTCCCGAGTATCCCAGAAAAACCAAAGCGGGCAACCACACCATGAGCTTAAAAATTATTAGCGTGCAAGAAATTGGGAAGAATAAGGACAATTTTTACATCTTTGAGGTGATTAATTTTTAATCGTCCACTATTTACAGACAATCAGTAGATGAAGGGCTCCTTTAGAACCCAGAAGATTTCCACTTCATTACAAACCATGCCGCCACTTTGCTGGTCAGTGAAGGAGGTCTCTGTTTGGATGAGTGCCACCACCTATGGATGTGTAGGAAACTAGTTTCTTTTCAGGAGAAGTGAAAGCCTTTTGAACTTGTTTGCGAAATAAAACAGGCAGCATTGCGGCGCGGTGGTGGTGTGTTTTTCAAGCTCTATTGATTTGGTGGCATGTGGAATTTTGATTCCACTGAGTTGCTGATCTGAGCACTGAGTAGTGGAACGAATGAGTGTTTCTCCAAAAGGGAGAGAAGAGTGTGGTGAATTATCACCATCCTGCTTATCTATCACACAGAAGCAATTTTGTTTGAGTTCTTAGAAGAGATAGCTTGGCCTTTGCTGGGGTGTGATCCAGAAATGAGGCAAAGGAGAAAATAATGTGCAAAGTAAGGGAATAGTTATCCCCACTGACGACTTACTCGACTCTTCTGAAAGCATCTACACTTGAGCTGCCAATTTACACCCCAGAAAAAACTTCACTGATACAATCTGGTATGCTACAATTTTTTCTTTAATCAGACCTTTATAATTAAATAAATGTCTTCGGAGCTTTATAGGGGAGACTTTCAACTTAGTTTCTTGGGAAATAGCTTCCCAAACGCTTTTCCATTTAGTGCCTCAGCTTACCCCCAGCTATTCTAACCAGCAACCAAAGGTTCAGGACTTGTGGATATAAGTAGAAACCCGGTTGTTAGTCGATTGGCAGATTGCTTTCCAGGGGTAATAATCCCTTTAAAAATACGTGAAGGCTTTGTGATGTCTCGAGGATGTGATAAGGCACTATATCAAATACATGGATTATTATTATTTTATTATTAAATGAATAATAATAATTTGGTCACTCAATCCACCTCTGTTCGTGGGACACTGCTGTGCGCAATTGGCTGTTGCGTTTCACCCATAAATATACACTTTACAGTATATTCTGTGAAGTGCTTTGAGACGTGTCACAGACATGATAAGGTGCTTTATCAAATGCAAGGATTATTATTACTATACAGTATACCCAAGCTATCCCATCCTAGGCTTTGCAGTTTTATTAATCTTTCTCTGAAAGTACCAGTCGCAAAGCCGTTCTCGAGTCCTGTTCATTTGACATGAAGCGTCTAAAATTCCTGCACATTAAACCGCGAGAGGTGACTTTGTGAAAAGAGTTTGGATCGGCTTTAACTGAAGATGTTCCTTCTGCTTATAATTTTTTTTATAACACGAGTGGTATCCTGAATTATTAGTACTCTGAATTCCTTTCACAAAGTGGTTTGTCATTATCCTGTTAGTGCAAATAAATATTCTTAAAAACTTTCTCCCTCCCCCTTTCAATTTCTCTTTTTCCCTCTTCGCTTCTTTCCTCTCTTCCGACCCCCACCCCTCCCAACACACACAAGAGAAGGGTAGGTACTCACGCTGAGCTATAGGCACTGGATGCTTGCAGTACCTCGTCATCATTGTTGATATGTGAGCCTAGGTAGTAAGTGATGGATAGGCTAGATTTAATGTGTATTGGAATATCAGAGCAGAGCCCAATACTCCCCTCATCCAATACTAATGGAGTCCTGTAGTTCAGTGGTGAGAGCGAGAGTCGTGGGTTCGATTCTCAGCAGGGCAAAACGTTGGAAAGTTTCCTTACTCCACACGCCTGATAATAATCCCTCAAGAAAAACAATGATAAATTGGTTATTATAATAAACTATTAAGAGGCCCTTATTTGGGACTTTGAAACAGCCTTTATGTTCCTGCACAAATAACTAGGACAACAATGTAGTCAAGAAATCATAAGAAATCAAGCAAAGAGCATGTAGAGTCCTGTAGCATATTGGTTAGAGCCTTGCATTTGGTCACTTCAATCCACGATTGTCTGTGGGACACTGCTGTGTGCAATTGGCTGCCTCATTTCATCCACAAATATACAGTCAATTCACTTTACAGCACATTCTGTGAAGCGCTTTGAGACGTCCAGAAGACGAGAAAAGCGCTATATCAAATGCAAGGATTATTATTATATCCTCACTCAACAGTCAGAGCTGTACACTTTCTGGTAGAGATCCCGAGATGGGAATCAGGGGCAGAGTTCCTGTTTTCTTGTTTCCTCTTCACCCCTCCTTTGCTACCTACCCCAGGGTGTTGAGGCAAACACTAGTGCACCAAAGCTGAGGACAGTTAACTCAGTGTACACCAGGGCTGAAACCCACCACAGTCCTACAGTCAGCTTTAATAAGGCACAGCCATGCAATGATTTAAATGAAACCTTATAGACTTGGAAGTTTGGTGAGACCGACTTGAACTATAAATTAATGGTATGTTTGTTCAATGCTTTAGACACATACTCTTAATAGTTTCAGGCCAAGAGAAATTCGGAATAATTCTGTGGGAGAAAAAATAATCAACACTTGTCAGTTTAGAGTTTGTGTTGACTATTTTGTCTCCAGTGTGGTGAGAACTCTCAATACAATTGTTGGAAGGTTTAAATGCTATTAGATCTGTATCTAAAAAGCAGAAACAACTCTCCTCCCGTTCCTGCTTCCCACCCTGACGTGTTCCCACGATATCTCACCTTGCTAAGCTAAACACTTTTAATAAATTAAAAATTAAAGCAAGTGTTTAATTCAAAATGTTACCTGGAATTTTGTAGATTATAACTTGAGTGTTTCCGTTGATTGACCTCTTAATGAAAGACCGTGACTTTTTAATATCAGTGCGTGTATTTCAGCAGTTGAACCTGAAATCAGGTAACTGGTTTGAAAATAAGTCCCTAGTTTTTGAAAATTCTAATTTTCACCTCGCGGTATCTACGGTTATGATGTCGATAAACTATTACTTCTTTTATCATTGTGAAGAGATGAAGTACGCAATGCAGTCTAATTTTAAAGTTCTCTATGAAACCTTTGGAGAATTATCCCTACTTGAAACAGACTAGAAAAATTAGGTTTGAAACTGTTCTGTGGGACACCAGAAATTGGCAGTTTCATGCTCTTCCACAATGCTTTAAAGCGCCCGCAGCTGAGAAAGGAGAAGCTCATGTTAGCTCAACTAATTCGAGTTGAGGTACAGATCAGCCATGATCTAATAGAATGGTGGAACAGGCTCGAGCGGCTGAATGGCCCACTTCTGTTCCTATGTTCCTTTGAACTCCGTACGTGATGTATTCCTTTTTGCTGTAGAAATATTTTTCTTCCAAAAATATAATAATTGTGCCTGGAGGCCATCTTGAATGAAACCTTTAGTGCAGGGGTAAGTACTTGCAGGTTTGCTTTGTAGACACTGAAGAGGGAGCTTTACGAGATTGATACTGAATGAGTTTTAATAGTTGACAGGATCAATGAACAACTAGAACCATTAACTGAAGATAATACCATTTGCCGAATTGGGTCGGTAGCAGGGCGTGATTCATCACGCCTGAAAAACAAAACTTGCACAATAGTTTTAACAAAAAGAAAAAGATTTATTTGAACAAGGAAGCGCTATCTCTACATCCGTCTTCTCCACACGCTCGCATTCCTAATCACCCAGTTTTATACTGGTGCTCAATTATCACAGACTCCAATCAAGCCTGATGGGAGGCCGGCCTCTGTTAGCTCCCTTTACATGTAGGCAGTGAAAGGCAGCATCAGGATTCTTGTACCTTTAATAAACCACAGATAAAGGTTTGAGTAATTGACCACCCAAATTCAAATGAGGTAATGATACTCTTTTGAGGTTCAAGAAACAGCCCCAAGATCTGACGTGGGGAACAGCAGAAATTGCAAATAAAACAGCCTTACCACCCATTCAAAAGATAGAAAATTGATAAGATATTGTGGTATAGAATTGGGACAGGTATATCATTCTTCATTGATTCAACCTCACATACAAATAATAATTGCTGTCATCCCATAAGAGGGCGAGAGAATCACTCCCCCCACCACCACATGTTTAAAATCTCAATTGAAACCTCATCCTCTCCACAGAAGGCATTTGGCAAATCCTATTGACAGATGGTGCTGCCTGGAGACAGATTGCATACTGAGTATTCCACTACAGAAAGCTGCCAGGAACCTTCAGGAGAACAGAGCACTGGTACTCAGTGACCTATTGATCTCCCGTAAGGGCAAGTTTTCCTTCCCCTTCCCATCACTCCTGTCCCTTCTTATCACTCTTATCCCTCATAACAGGGATCCTTTGTTACCGGAGATGGTTTAGGATCTCTTCAGTGCTTAGCATCACTTGGCCCATTGGAGAGTTGAAGTTTTGAGCTGAAGGCCTAACTCCCTCAATGGAGTGGGACTAAAAAAATAACTACTGTGCTACCCAACTCCGATTGCTTTGAAATCTGCCCCACTATAAGGTACTATATGAATGGGGAATCTAAGTCTTTCCACAGATTGGGACCCTAGAGTCTTAGATTTCAATGTAGATAAGGCCTAAGACTGGTTGAGAACAAAAGCTAGTATGTAGTGAGCATAACCCGAGTAAGCATGGCGTCAAGTCCTTGAGCAATTTTCTTTCACATGGGATAAAGTTTCCTATTTGTATGTGATCATTCATTGAAACGGGCAGCAGTGTTATTGTAATTGTTTCAGCTATTAAAGTAATTGGATGGCATATTGACATTAAATAGTGATCGCTGGCAGCCAGGCCTGCAATCAATCATCTTGTTGAGCTCCAATTAGAGACTGTGAGGTAATAAATAAGAACAAGCTTTGCATTTGATCCAGTGTGTTTCCTGTCAGGAGAATATCTCAAAGCCCCTCACAGGATTTATTACAAGTATAGTGATTGTGTAATTTGTAAGTGAACATTGTCAAAAGGGAAACATATTGGTTGTGTTTAGTAAATGATCACCAAGTGCTTTTATTAGTTTGAGAACTATTCTGATGTCCGTGACAGTGAATTGTCCGTTGTATCTCCTAGTATAGACTTAATATAGTCTAAGAAGATGGGTCATTTAATGTCCATTAATTTGCACTACATTTCCCATTAAATATTCCAGCACAAATTCTAGATTTCCTAAAGTAAACTCTTGGAATATCCTATTCGTAAACCACATGGAGACTGCATCATCATTGGAAAGATGCTTTATGATCACGAATAGCTTTACAGAAAATTTTGCTAAGAACTACTTCTATGACCTTGTTAACCCACCCCAGCAATCATTTTTAAGTTGCATATTTCAAAATACCAGTTTTTATAATAATCAGTTATTCATTTGAGAGTGAAATTCCGTTCCCACATTAATCATTGTCAGGAACCAGACACCAAGAGATATAACAGCTTGAGTTTTGATGTTGAAACTGGTTGATATAACTGCAAACAAGAAATTTAATTGGTCAGCGACACCATTTTGTCCCTTTGGTTTTTTCAAGAACAAATTCTGTTAGGAAATAACATCTCGGGATACCTTATATAGTTTGGGACACCACATGTGCAAGCAACTGCCAGGATGGTGGAAGGCGAACTGGATGGACTTTGTTCTTCTTTTGCCCAGCAAATTCTTATTTTCTTATGTCCCAGCTGACGTCAGTGCACCCGCCTGAGTGGGCCCTGTTGCAGTCAGCTTATCTTTAGCTCCTGGTGTCAAATGATCACAACCTCTTCCCTGTGGCTGATCGAAACACCTTCTGTGTCAGGCCTCCAGTCTAACCACACACAGCAAGAGGACAGGCCTTCAATATCCTTTGATTCTTTCACGAACAAATTGGATAGATTTCTGTTAGTAAATATTATCTCGGGATACGATATATAGTTTGGGGCACCACGTGTCATGCGACTGACAGGTGGGTGGAAGGCGAACTGGATGGACCTTCGTCTTCTTTCGCCGAGCAAATTCTTATGTTCTTATTTTCGCTGCCTTCGCTGTTTACTCAGCTGTAGCCTGGAAATCACAGAGAAGTAAAGCTTGCCTCTGTTTTATCCACATGCTTCAAAATATTTGAGTTCATTTTTATGATAGCCTGAAAGTATTTTGAATTCATAAAAGTTTACTTTTTTTAAAAAAAGAAAGGTATTTATTACATTTCCCTGATCGGTGAATGAACGGAGAATCCCATACCTGCACAATTGTGCACTTATATCTCTGTAATGTAGTCTCAGCTGTAATGTAATTCAATAATTGAATGCTTGTGCACATTTAGAAGAAAGGTTTCGGAAATCCTGTTAAATAGAATACTAAAGCTTCTTGCACCTTCAGTATGTATGTTCAGCCCAGGTATCTGGCTGGTATATTTTGAGTAGAACATTTTTATAGGGTAAGGAAAACAACAATTTTACATTTGTATAGCGACTCTCACGTCAGCAAGATACTTCAAAAGCTTCACAGAGCCAATTGGAATCCGAGGTGGGGTGGGGGGAGTTGAAGAAGGTGTGTGTTTTGGGGGGATGAGTGTGGGGAGCAGAGGGAGGGGAAGGTGAACAGATCATGTAAAATTATCAGATTTCTTTAGTTATTTGGATATACCTAAAATTGCCATAATTTCCTGTAAAGTCTCACTTCCATAGATTTCTCTGCTTCCAGCTCAAGGACGGAGAGAGGGAGAGTCTGTTTTTAGATTTCACACATATTAATCTAAGCATTTCAGCTCTAGGTACTGTTCAATATGTTCTCTATACAAGTAGCTAACAGCCTCGCTAATTTATCACTGCATGTCTGAGGCCTAAAGAACCTTTCAGCGGGTTACCATCAAGCCAGTTTGATTGGAAACCTTGATTGTAAATCCTATTCATTCATCGTTGGTCTTCAGCCACTCTCAAGTGTTTTTATTTGTTTCTTAACTATTCCCCATTGTCCTGCTGGCAAGACTGCTGAGCTCACCAAGGACAAATCAATAATGGAGTGCAAGTCATCCATAATTTGTATTGTTAACCTATTCTTCCTCTTAAGAGTGTTTCTTTACACTCCTTGCATATTTTGTTGGTATACACAAAATGTACACCTTTGTCGATAGAGACATTTCTGTTATGTATTCAGTCAGATCACTGATTCAAGACCGCTGATATCTTATTTTAGGGATTATATGTTTGGAATGAATTGGGGCATCGTGAATTATCCAACCCTTTTTGTAAAACTAATCTTGAATTTAGAGCGACTTCAATGGTGACCCAGGGTCATTTGTGTGTGGGTGGGGCGGGTGTCCAAAAGGTTCAGTGCATTCATTTTTCATGGAAATTAAATATTATCTCTGGATTTTTACTGTTCGGAGTTTATCCATCAGAACAAACTTATCCCCCAGCATCATAGCTGTTTTATCTTCTACTGAACAGTAGAACCAGAGGACACGGCCTGCGATTGAAGGGGGGTCGTAAATTTAGAACAAATCTGCGGGAATGCTATTTCGTGAGCGAGTAGTAAGCATATGGAACAGGCTCCCTAGGGAGACGGTGGAAGCAGAAAGTGTTGATTCTTCAAGAATAAATGTAATAATTTCTGTTAGGAAATTATATCTTAGGATACAGTATATAGTTCGGGACATGATATGCAACTGCCAGGATGGTGGAAGGCAAACTTGATGGACCTTGGTCTTATGTTCTAATGAGACCATCTTGCAATATGATTTTCTCCCAACACAGCAGTTTCATAACCAGGGATCCAGATTAAAATAATTTATTTTCAGAAATGGTTAATATAGTCATGAGGCAGATCTTATGGACTAAAGCAGGGTTATTTTCCTGCCTCCACTCTGTATCCTCCACCCTCAGAAGATTCCATCTTCTGCAGTCAATTTGCAAACAGGTTCCAAATTAAGAGTTGAACTAACATTGGGTGGGTGAAGTTGGCTTTAGCGATCCATGTTAGAGAACATTTTTGACCTGTTTTATGCTTAGAAAATGTTCATGATAATATTACTAGGTTTCAGACGGTGCATTACAGCACAACACCATCATTGAATCATGGCTTTAAATATACACAAATTGTCATCAGGGTTGCTAGATACCTGTGCAGCAGCTCCTTTTGGAGAGTTGTGTAGCTACAATTTTCAAAGAAGGAACATTTTCAAAGAATTGCCCTCACTGTAAGTTATTTTCCACTTTTTTTAAAAAAAATTCTGATACCTTTTTATACAAGCTAAAATAACATTTGAAAATCCTGGCGTGAGAAGGGTTGGAATAAGTGCTGATTTTGGTCGCTCTTATGCCCTGTAAATAAATAGATAAATAATTCTCCGGAATTAGGTGAGCAGGATGCATCCCTCCGGGGAGAGAGTGCGCGTTCCATTCCAACAGTCTATCTCTGGGATTTCCATGTGTAGGTGGGATGTATGGAATTCTCAGTTTTGGTTAAGCACGGTGATGGGTTTCCGCATGTGTCAGATCAAAAACAAAAGATATATAGATATAGATAACCTTGCAGATTTTCCTGATGTATTTTAATAGAATTGTGTAAAGTAATTAAATCCAGTGCACTGACACACGCATTAGATGTGCTGAAGTAGCATTCTTAACCACATTTAATTTTCCTTCACAGTCATTCCTTTGGCGATGTTAGTTGAAGGTTTGTCGGGACTAAGTTGGGGGTTAAAACTATCTATACCCATGGTATACTGAGCACAGAGCCGGGGCCTAAGTAAAGAGCCTGGGTATTACGTAGTATGTTATATTTTTCAGGTGCCCCTGGTTAACGACCTTGAATCCGCCATGCACCAGCTGCTGAAACAGCGGGCTACCCGGTTTGTCCAGAGACGGCAAGATGATATTAAAGATGAATCGTCGGAATATTCAAGCCATTCAAGTCAGTCCATCTTGAAGGTTTTTATTTTTCATTGAACAGCCTTGTTCAGTTGTAATACTTCTGTGAGCTTAATAAAAAAAATGTTTTTTTTTAAATAAAAAAACACTCACAATCCAGCAGAGAATCTGGCTTGTACTTGCTAATGTAAAACAGTTTGATTATGGTGTCAGAAATCTTTTGACTGTTTAGTTACGGGTAGGGTAAGTGGAAGAAATATAGGTCGTGGAAACTATTCATGGGGGGGAGTGGGGTGGTGTTTAGATCGGTTCCTTTGAAGATCAACATCTTCACCGCAACATCACCCGTTCTAATTTTTTTAAATACCTTTAAAGATTATTTTTAAATTGTGGTCCAATTTGGGATTTTTTATATTCTTTTCAAAAATATACTTCACTCGGCAGTCTTTTTAATCTTAAGATCTGAATTGCTTGATTTTGGTTTTGGCCCTGTAAGGATTCGTTTGACCCTTCAGTTATTCCCTGTTTCTATCAGGTTAGGATTTCAACCCAAAGAAATACTGTTTGCCCCCCCACTCCCCCCACGTCCTCCTGCTGCCCGAACAGCTTCAGCACAGAAATGCCGCAGTACAAAGACTCCTTTCCTGACTTGATATTTTGATTAATACAACAGCTGCGTACTTCCATGTTGAAACTTTTCCCCGTTGCCATTTCAAGCCGAGGAAACAAAACATTAGTAGTTGTGCTTTCAAATTCTCATTGTTGCTGCCCCATTCTCTGCTGTCACCCTCTTTCCCTCTGCCCCGCACTCCCCCCCACCTCCCCCCCCAACAAAATAAGAGCAATGGGTTTTTATAGCATTTCCCCATTTTAAGTCTCGCAAAGATCTATTCGGAGGGGGCAGTTCGTTTATTTTTCCATCATTAAGTCAGTTTATTAAAACAGAAAAGATTCCCTTACGGTTTCCTGGCTGGTCCCTGTTAAGTTTATCTATCACGGGTGAAAATTATCCTTTTTTTTTAACGGGACCATCCCAAATCACAGACTTTCCCTGAGTGAGTCCAGGTATTGAGCTTATGGTTTCGGGCGGGAACGAATGCAAATTATAATTGATTGATGTCAGTAACTTGACACGTTTATATACGTTTTTTTTTCTCGACAAAAAAAAAACGTGTAGCAATTCGATCCACTTTATATTTGCAGGCAAACAAGTTATGGCAACGGGCCAGGATGCATTCGGTCGTGACCGAGCTTTATTTCAAGAGAATGCAAAACAGAGGCGGATAGCAGAGAGGGAGGCCCGCAGGTTTGATTTAAATACGATGTGTTTGAAGTAAATTGTTCTGTGGCTCAATTATGAAGGGAGCCCTATATAGTGGAGTCCTGTTGCATATTGGCTAGAGCACTCGCCTCGCAAGCGAGAGGATAATCCACGGGCGCAGCGAAACCTTAGGCAAGTTTCCTTACTCCACACGCCTCTGCTTACCGAGCAGTGGAGTCGTGTAGTTCAGTGGTTAGAGCACTCGCTTTGCAAGCGAGACACCTGGGTTCAATTTCCGGCAGGGCGAAACCTTGGGCAAGTTTCCTTACTCCACACACCTAATAATAATCCCTCCAAAACAAAGATAAATTGGTCATTTTTAATCCACGACTGCTTGTGGGCCACTGCTGTGCGCAATTGGCTGCCGCGATTCACCCACAAATATAGTCAATTCACTTCACAGTCTATTCTGTGAAGCTCTTTGAGACGTCGCGAAGACGTGAAAAGCACTATATCAAATGCAAGGATTATTATGATTATTAGTAAGTAGGAAACTGGTTGTTAGTCGATTGGCGGATCGCTTTCCGGGGGTAACAATCCCTTCCAAAAAAAGATCACTCAAATTGCTATGTGCAATTGGCTGCTGCGTTTCGCCCACAAAATGCACAATCAATTCACTTTACAATATGTTCTATGAAGCACTTTGAAACGTTGATAAGGCGCTATATCAAATGCAAGGATTATTATGGTTATCTGCCCTGCTGGTTTTATTTTCAGATGATCCATATTTTTGAGAGTTTAACATGGAAACGGGTGAATTAAGTGGTGAGATTAACATGCATTTAACTGTGTGGTTCTGTAAACTAGAGCACGTCGGAGATTGGCCAGAGAGCAAGCAGGAAAGATGTCTGAACATCACGAAGGACTGTCAAGTGATGATGAAGAAACGTCCACCGACATCACCAGCTTTAATATGGAAAGAGGTATCACAATTCCAAATATTTATTGAATTTTTTAACATTTGCAATAAAATTTGTATTTGTTCAAAAGTCAAATTAAGAGAATGTTTAACGGTGACGGTTGAAAGTAAAAAAAAAACTTTTTGCGGCTAAATCGACATTGTCATCTTCTACAGTTCCTTTCCCTTCTTTTAAACTAAAATTAATGTCATCCTACATTTAGACAGCAGGCCATCAAAGATTTGTGAAAGTCCTGACTTCCAAAATACAGAGATTATAGAATCATAGAATCTTACAGTGCAGAAGGAGGCCATTCGGTCCATGGTGCCTGTGCTGGCTCTTCAAAAGAGCTATCTAACTAGTCCCACTCCCCATAGCCCTGCAGTTTTTTTTTCCTTTTTAAGTACCTATCCAATTCCATTTTGAAAGCTACTATCAAATCTGCTTCCACCACCCTTTCAGACTGCATTCCAGATTTGCAGGAGCATTTATGCATTTTCACCTTTCGTCAACAAATTACCTTCTGTTGAAAGATGAAAATGCACAAATCTTTAAATGATGCAGGATTTTATTTAAAACATTGTACGTACAACTTCTCTTTCCCCCTTCCTCCAACAAGGAGCAATTTCATTCACTAAAGCAATTTCATTCAGAGAAAGGACACCATGTACTGTCTACATTGTTCAGTGCTCAGATGTTATCCCGTGTGAAGGGTGCTGTATAAATGCATATTACTGTTGTACATTAGGATGCAGAACCAGCACCCAGTTTGCTAGCATTACCGGCAACATTCTGTTGACCATTGAATTTGATTCCTTCGTGGGCCATCTAAAGTAATTCAACTGGTAATTCATACCGTTTTAAACCTCGTGGTCAGATTGCTGTTCTGTAAGTTAAAGCCATGGGCTGAAATGAATGTTAGAATGGTAAAGAGAAATCTCTCTTCGCAGATCGAATTGTAAATGAATCCAGGAAAGTGTTTGAAGATGTCTTAGAAGATTTCTGCACACTTGACTGCATCAAATCCCGCTTTGAATGCTGGCGGGAATTGTATTACACTCATTATAAGGATGCCTACATCGGTCTGTGCCTCCCCAAACTGCTTAATCCTCTGATTCGATTACAACTCATTATATGGAATCCTTTTGAGGTGAGAGCTGGAGATCGCTTTAGAAATACTGCTGGAGAGAGGAGGGTATTTATCAGTCCATTGTGCAGTAGAGCAGTGGGATGGGAGTTTACATCTATGTTTTCTCAAGTGGCAAGTTACCAAGCTGGGGGGAGATTTCTGCTGGGAGCAGCAAGTAAGAGGTGAGATGATTTTTCCACAGGAATTGTTGGAAACTAAGAGAGCATGAGTTATCCCAAACTTCTCTCAGGGATCTTCTTGTGGTCGAATGCAGAGCAGCAGAGATTTGAGAACTGGTCTCCGAACGATATTTTTGATCAGTGAATGGTACGAGATGGCGGGGAGGAGCAATAACAACAAACAACAAATTGCATTTACGTAAACGTGAATGTAAAATTACCTGTTACGTCAGGAGGAAATCCCAAGGCGCTGTATTGTCGAGGATTTGCACCCGAGCTGGGGGTTTTGGGATCAGGAGGGGTGAAGAGCAGGGAGGGTAGGGATAGAAGGGTGACCGAAGGGATCAGACAAAGAGGAAGGTCTTCAGACAGAGGAGGTAAGGAGGGGCAAGGCCAAGAGACTGGGTTGGAGTTTCAAAGTGTTGTGGCCAGAGAGGCTGAAAGCCCAACCGCCGATGTTGGGGCCGGCTGGGCAGGGGGACGCAGAGCAGGCCACAGTCCGCTGAGCGGAGGGAGCTGACAGGCCGGTATGGAAGTAGCAGGTCACAGATGTAGGGAGGAGCAAAGCAAAGCAGAAAAAGCACAAACAAATCAAAATCCTCTTTTTTTTGTACGAGTCATACTATGCTTTGTTCCACCAATGTGGAAATCTGTCAGTGTTTTGTCTGATTGCTTATGAAAATAAATGTATTGTGCTTGGAAGGAGTAAGAAAGGATTGGGAGGAGTGGCCTCTGTATAAAGTGCTCCTTGAGCTCACTTTACAATCTCACTACAACCTCTTGCAGTCAATGCCTTTGGAACTGCATCCTAGGAGAGGGTGGGTGGGGGTGGGAAGGAGTTAGACACCTTCAGAAGAAGTAAATGCAAAATTTTGCTGGAACTTACAGCTGTGTGTGCAATGTTTTGTGTTATTTATTGAGACCACCGCACCTTTATTTGTTGAGATAACTAGACATGTCCCAGAGGGTAAAATCTATTTGCTTTGAAATACAAATGTCTGTTTTGGAGAAGAATATAGTAACGTTAGTTTACTAATTGCTAACATCTGTATTTTACTGCAATGACAAAATGCTTGCTCTATGAACCAATTTTTATGTTTTTTTGATAGGCAAATTGTCGTGACTTTGAAAGTATGCTTTGGTTTGAGTCTTTACTCTTTTATGGATGTGAAGAGGGGAAAGATCCACAACAGGATGATGTTGACACTTACCTGTTACCCGCAATTGTCGAAAAGGTGGTATTACCAAAGTTGACAGGTAATTGATTTGAAATACCTTTGGTCTGGATCAGAGAATGTTACCTGTATGGTTCTGCTGGATTTCCAATCCCCCAAAACAAAAGACCCAGAAAGAATTCACAGAAAGCTTTACATTTGAAGCTGGAAAGAATCTTTGCACGTTCTACTAAATGGTCAGGATATAGGGTAGTTGAGAAAGCCAAACAAAATGCAGTAAAACTACATCTGAAAGAAAAAAATATGTTGTTTGCTTTTATTTTGATGATAGCTTTTATGTTTTATTTGTAGAGAAAAAAGGGTTTTGTTTAAATCTGGACTCTCTTTTTAACAAAACAGACGTACAATAAAGTAGGATTAACATGCCTTGTTTTGTCCATTTTAATCAAATCACACTTTGTATTTAACTCCTAGTTCTTGCAGAAAATGTTTGGGATCCCTTGTCATCCTCTCAGACGTCGCGATTAGTTGTATTAATGCAGAAGCTAATTGAAGGATATCCTTCGGTTGTAAATGGAGAAAATAAATACACACAGGTATTTATCATTTTTATTCAATTTTTATGATTTTCCTGGGCAGGGCGCTATTCTTAGGCAAGTTTCCCTACTCCACCCGCCTCTGTTTACCCAATAGAAAGCAGGAATCCAGTTGTTAGACGATTGGCGGATCACTTTTCCGGGGGTAATACTTTTTTTTAAAAAAATTTAAATATTAATTTGGTCACAGAAATCCACGATTTTTGTGGGACACTGCTGTGTGCAATTAGCTGCTGGATTTCGCCCACAAAATACACAGCTCTTTGAGACGTCTTGATGATGCGATAAGGTGCTATATCAAATACGAGGAATTATTATTATTATTCACCATACCTGTTTCTAGTAGATTTTTATTTCCAAAATTCAACTTGGGATGAGGGCGATGCTATTTGTTGCCCATCGTTGATTCCCCTGATTAAGTGGCTTTCTCGACTGCTTCAAGGGCCATTAAGAGTCAACAACATCGTGTGGGACTTGAGTCACGTGCAGACCAAACATTGGAAATTATGTCAGACTTCCTTTGCTGACAGACGTTAGTGAAGAAGTTGAGTTGTTAAATTCTTTTAATTCAGTGTTAATTTGGAAGCTAGATTTTTAGTTAAAAATAACCACCTTCCATTTACGAATTTTCTTAAATGTAAGAATTTTAATACATTGCTCCTTGTATTATTAATAATAATACTTGAATTTGATACAGCACCTTATCACATGTTTGAGATGTAATTGGTCTAAAAACTAAAACAAGGAATTTCTGGCCTCTGAAGTCATATTTCTACATGTAGATGCACATAACATTTGTGAAAACAGGAGGAACACATTTCTGGTTTGGATGAAGAAGGCCCTTCGGCCCATTTGATCTCGTCCTTCCAGAACACCCGCCCTAGCATCCACCCATCACAGCATTGTTTTAAATGAGTTCAGCAACTTGGCCTCAACCAGCCTTGCTGACAACCTGTTACTTACCCTTTGATTTAAAAAAAAACACTTTTGTCCTTAAATTCCTCTTTGCGACTCTCAACTTATGTCCTTATTCTATTATCTTGGTGCAGCCTAAAGTGGAGTTAAAATCTAAGGGTGGTTTTGATTTGGTTTTAAACTTGTTTATTAATAATTAAAGATTCTCCTAAATTTTCTCCACAGTCTTTGCTGAAGGCCATCGTCTTAAAAATAAGGAGAGTGCTGGACGAAGATATGTTCATACCACTTTACCCAAAAAAGTATGTATGCCTGTCGTGTTTGGTACGTGTATGTGTGAGGGGGGGTGGGGGGGTGTGGTTGGGGAGGTTATTGTTAGAACTTGGGTTTCAAATTTCATAAAGCACAGTAGGTGGGATGCATGGAAATCTCAGTTTGGTTTGGAGACTCTTAAGAATGGTGATGAGTTTCTGCATGTGTCACACCCGGCTGGCAACAAAAATTGGATTAAGCACTTAAAGGACATAATTAAGACACAATTCTCAATCTTAATTTTTTTTAAGAGTGAGTCACTAACTTTTGTTTGTACTTTTATATTCAGTTTGCTAGAAAACAAGAACTCTGCTCCTTACCTGTTCTTTCAGCGGCAGTTTTGGTCTGCACTTAAGGTCAGTCTTAATCACAAACTTTTTCATTCTAACTTTCCTTTTACTTAATCGCATGGTCTTTGTAACGTATTACTTTACCACTGTTCTCCAGCCTGGGGACCAACCAAGCTGTGGATCCTGTGTGGCTTCTAGAGTGTTAAACAGAAGCTGCACGTCCACAGATCTAATTATGCGCTCAATTGCTATCTTTGTGGAGTCCTGTAGCGTATGGGTTAGAGCACTCTCCTCGCAGCAGTCTAGCAGTAAGTAGGAACCCAGTTGTTAGTCGATTTGCGAATCGCTTTTTCCGGGGATAATAATCCCTTCAAAAAAAATAGTAATAATAATTTGGACACTGCTCTGCGAATCAGCTGCTGTATTTCGCCCACAAAATATACAGTCAATTCACTTTACAGTATCTTCCGTGAAGCGCTTTGAGACATCTTGAAAACGTGATGAGGTGCGATATCAAATTATTATTATATCAAATGTAAGGATTATTTTATTAATCATGCCTATTCTTTTCCCCGATCAAGAATGGGATACTTCAGGTAAAGAGCAACTAACCTTACCTGGTATATTCATGGGCAAGCAGAGGCTACAGTTAGCTCATAACCACGAGGATAGCAATTGAGTGCATTAACTCTTTCAATGGAAAAGCTTGGTGCCCCACAGTTTGGGAATAATACATCGTAAACCAAAATTAAACATACTTAAATCCCGCAGACATTGTATTCACTGGGATGTGGCCCATTCACGGAATACAACAACTTACATTATAAAGTGCCTTTCACTTTAGAACCAAAATGGTTCACATCAGCTGAGTGGGAACCTGATCTTTTTGGGGGGCTCCGTTATTACACAGAGATACCACAGTGATTTCTGCAGAAATAAGACATTTCTTTTCAACCAAAAAGCTGTAGTGACATGCTAAGCTGTCGGGCCTTTCAGCCTGTGTTGCGTGTATGTTAGTACAAAGGTTTACTTTAGATGTTAGGTATTAAGCATCATTGAACGCATAAGGTTACATTTCATTGCATGCCGCACTGTACTTTGCAGAATAATAATGCAGTTTTGTTGCACGTGCTTTTGTATACGTGCTTCTCCAACACACTAACTGCTGCCTCTGCTCGACTGGCTCCAGCCTCCCACTTGTCCCTTGTGCCTTCCGTTCCACCATCAATAGCTATGCTTTCAGCCACTACACCCCGAATCTCTGGAACACTCTTCCTCTATCCCTCCGCCAAAATTGCAAGAAATAAAAGGGGAGGTGAGAGAAAAAAATCTTTGCCGGGGGTGGTTGGAATGTGGAATTCCCTGCCCCAAATCGTTGTTGAAACAGAGACCCCCTACCCCACACTGCCCCCATCACTTTATTTTATGAAGAGCATTAGCCTTGAAAATAAGGAACGCTGAAGAGTGTGGGTAGCAAGCAGGAGGGTGGGATTAAACCTTACTGAAGGTGCCTTCCTCTTCGACCGCGCTTAGGGTCACCTCCCCCCGGATCAGTGTCGTGCTCCGCTACTATCAAGCGCTCCAGCGAGGGGCGCCATATCAATGCAAGTTGTTTTTGTTGGATTAAACTTGGCTCATGGGAAAAAAAAACAGCGTAGACTTGATTGATTGCCCGAATGGTCTATTTCTGTGCTGTAGCTGTGCAGTTTCCCATCAGGAAGAATTCTGGCTCTCAGTACGTAGAGGGAACAAAAACAAATCCTGCCTCCCCTCTTGAATTTTCGACTGACTTGATTATCCTTTGCTCCTCTTTAGTTATTGGATAACCTCCTGCAGTGGACTGGCATCATTTCAAATCGATCGCTGCAGGATTTAGCTGTGGACGGTCTGTTAAATCGCTACATCCTCCTGGCCGTGCAGAACTCTGACCCTGGTGATGACAGTCTTAAGAAATGTCAGAGTGTAAGTATCACAGAATCGTAGAATGTTACAGCACAGAAGGAGGCCATTCGGCTCATTGTGCATGTGTCACCTCTTTGGAAGAACTATCCAATTGGTCCCACTCCCTTACAAATGTTTCCTCTTCAAGTACCCATCGAATTTCTTTTTGAAAGTTGTTATTGAATCTGTTTCAGTGTAATGGTGAAGTCACTGTTAAGCGCTCTGAGACGCTACTCCATGTGGAGGGCACTATATAAGTGCAAATTATTGTGGCATCCACTACCCTTACAGGCAGTGCGTTTCAGACTCCAAATCTCCCCTCTGGTTCTTTTGCAAATTGTCTTAAATCTATGTCCCCTGGTTACCGACCCACCGGCCCCTACTGTTATTGTCGGGAAAAGCCACTCAGCTCAGATATCTGCTGAAGGCTGTGGAATTCTGTTCCAAACTGAAGAGTTTCAATGACAGTTCTGTGCTGTTTCTATAGCTCACTGAGAGCTTCCAGTGGCAGAAACCTGAAACTGCAACTCCTCATTCATTGCTAAATAACAACCATAAAAATCCTTGTATTTGATATCCGATGGGAGTCCTGTAGCATATTGGTTAGAGCGCTTGCCTTGCAAGCGAGAGAATCTGGGTTCGATTCCCGGGCAGGGCAAAAAGTTAAGCAAGTTTCCTTATTCCATGCATTTCTGTTTACCGAAGAGTTAGTAGGAACCGGGTTGTTAGTTGATTGGTGGATCACTTTTCCGGGGGTAATAATCCCTTCAAAATAAATAAAAATAATAATTTGGTTACCCAATCCATGACAGTTATGGGACACCGCTGTGCGCAATTGGCTGCAGCGTTTCGCCCACAAAAGACACAATGAATCCACTTTACAGTATATTCTGTGAAGTGCTTTGAGACATCTCGAAGGCGCAAAAGGTGTTATATCAAATGCCAGGATTATTATAAACTGCAGCTCTGTCAACTACTCTCAAATTTTCGAACAATCACTTAACCTTCCAGCTCCCATCAGCTGTTTTGTTAGTGTTAAAACATGTCGATGGCTCCTACCAGTTTTCGGGGAAATGGGGAGGTAAAAGGTTGAAATTGAACAGCGTCAAATCAAAGCAGCGCTGTTCCCCACCCCAGAATTCAAATGGAAAGTCACAAATAGCTATTTACATCATCTAGAGGACGATCAATGTAAATACACACAGTGTTGGAAAGCTTAAACTGAAACAGAGTATTTTCCGCTAGACTTTACCGGTGTTAACTAGTTGTTGGTATTAAACCAGTATCAAAATGTACTTTGAAGAGGTGCTGAGCACCTTTGCATATGTGCCGTTTGAAAGCTCCTTCTTACCTCTGTGACCTGCTAACCCCATAGCAACCTGTCCACTCTCTCTGCTCAGCATGCTGCAGCCTGCTCCACACCCTCCACCCAGCCCACCCCATCATCGGCGGTCAGGCCTTCAGCTTCCCTGCCCCCACCCCTTGAAACTCCATCCCACAGTACCTTTGCCTTGCTTCCTCCCTTGTCTCCTTCAAAGCCCGTCTCAAGACCTTCCTCTTTGACCGCGCATTTGGCAACCCTCCTATCACTTCCCTCTCTGCCCTCCAGGCCCCCTGATCCCAAACCCCAGCTCGGGCCCAAATCCCTGACCGTCCAGTGCCTTGGGATTTCCTCCTGACAAGAAAGGCGCTGTGTAAATGTAATTTATTGTTGAGCAAACACAAATTCATACTGCTGCTTTTATCACGTAGGTTATAACCTGTTTGCCAAAGCAGTGGTTTGTGAACCTAAAAGGAGAGAAGAGCATCCCACAGATGGAAAACTTCTGTCGATATCTTATACATTTGGCCAATACCATCTACAGGCTAAGCCTCGGCTGCTCGGATGTAGAGAAACGTGCTGCAAGGTAAGTACAGGAGCCTGGATCTGTGGCACTGCAGTTCAGAAATCAGGAAGCATTCTGACACACAAAAGGTTGTGGAAATTTGGAACTCTCACCCCTAAAAAGGCTGTGGATGAATACTGGATCCATTCAAATTTTCAAGACTGAAGTGGATAGATGTTTGTTCCATTAGGGTATCAAGGGATATGGGGCAAAGGCGGTTATTTGGAGTTGAGGTGCAGATCACCCATGATCTAATAGAATGGCAGAACAGGCTCAAGGGGCTGATGGCCTACTCTATTCCTATGTTCGCTGCCTGTAGAATGAAGAGATTGTGTGCACTTTTTTTGGTAAGTCCCAGTAACTTTAGAGTGACAGAAACCCACTCCCAGACATCTTGCTGATTTGAAATTACTGGGGAGTGACTGCTGTGTCAGTGTTCGTTCCTTTCCCGCGGGGAAGAGCCTGGTTTCTGTACAACAGAGATCAGGAAGCAAGCCTGTTGTGTGTGTCCCATCATGCCACTTTTCCCTACAAATTTGTTTCCTGCACCTTGAATTATTTTCTTTTTCCATCTTGAACCTTGGCATGAAAGAGTCAGGTGGGTTTCAAAGAATAGCATCACTTCCTTCCACATGTTCATGCCCAAATTACGTTTGTTCAACCTTGCAAGCCAAAGCCCTAATGGGTAGGGTGGTCCAAGCTGGACAAGCAGTGGGGTAGCTGGTCAGACAGCGCTCTCAATGGTGAGCTGTGTGGTTTTAGCTGATTAGTCTTCACCCGTTACCCCAACCTCACTGGGGTCCAAGTCTTGGCTCCTGTCAACCTGCGCCTAATACTTACCGGAATTAGGTGAGCAGGATGCATTCGTCCAGGGAGAGAGAGAGCGTTTTCCATTCCAACAATCTATCTCTGGGATTTGCATGTAAGGGTGGGATGCATAGAATTCTCAGTTTGGTTTGGAGACTCTTAAGCACAGTGATGGGTTTCCAAATGTGTCAGACACCCGACTGAACAACCAAAAAAAAATTATGATCTCAGAAGTGACCAGGGCGACGTGTATAATTGGGGTGGACTCATCTTTATTCTGTGCGTGTAATTTATTCAAACTGTTTACCTCTAGGAATAATATCAAACAAGTGATCAAATTTCTGGCTGTCATCCATGCTTTGGACCACGCTACAGCCATGGCTAACGAATATGGGGTGAAGGATATCAAAGCGCTAATTGATGGGAAGTGACGTCTCGAGCCAGAAGAGTTGAACATTCCTGCCGTTTGTATGATTTTGTACATATGTACAGATGTTTCGTAAAAGAAAAAAAATTGAGGGATGGTGTTGTCAAATAACACTCTTGTTTGCTATTTAATAATCACCATCTCTTGTGCTTGGAGATACAGCTGAACTCCTGGAATGGACTTTGAACTCTGACGTCTTTCTACCAGCATCTTGTACATGGCAAACTCACACAAGAACGTATTATTTTTTAAGCCCTCCATGCCATATTTCTACCTTTTATTGAAGATTCCTGCCAGTTTCTTCTCTTCACATCTGTAAGCGGGTTCTCCTTGGAGCTGAACTGCCTCCAAGGTGACGTGCCTGCCAACGTAATGTCAGAACCGAGCCAGCCCTGCACGCTTTTAGCTGGTTAGACTCCAGCAGTTACCCCAACACACACACTCTGGGCTCCCCCCAAGCCTCGGCTCTTACCAACCTGCGCCTAATACTTTCCTGAATTAGGTGAGCAGGATGCGTCCCTCCGGGGAGAGAGTGCGCATTCCATTCCAACAATCTATCTCTGGGATTTCCATGTGTAGGTGGGATGCATGGAATTCTCAGCTTGGTTTGGAGACTCTTAAGCAGGTTGATAGGTTTCCACATGTGTCAGACACCCGGCTGACCAAAAAATAAAACAAAGTGTCCCTTCACGCCGGAAATGAGGAGGATTGCACATCATTCTGGTTGTTGCTGCCCCAAGCATTTAGTTGCAAGCTCAGATTGGAGAGGATTCAGACAAAAAGAGTCCTGGGAAGAAACTGAAAACTCAAGTGTAACCCGGCGACAATATTTTAAGTTAACTGGGTTGTATTTGTTTAATTTGGTAGATGAATGAAGTTTGTTTTATGGTTTTACGAACATAATAAAATAAACTGGTTATTCAATATGTTTGAGGCTTTACCCGCAAGTACTGTGATTGTTTCGCTACGTTTTAGTGTGGGAGGGTGGACTGCAAATTCTTTCGGAGACTAAATAATATTCAGGACAGGATGGATCTTTTTAGACGCAGTTTAAAGATTTTTGCCCCTCCTGGGCCTTTTACGGCGGGCTTTTCTTTACTCGTAAACTTTTTTTTGTTTCCACGTTGTCTTATCCATAAGTTGCACCATATTGCACACTGTCCACTCAGGGTGACTAGTTGTAACCTGTGCTTTCTCTGTCTCTCTCTCTCTCACACAACACATGTTAAGAAGTAATGCTTGACCTCCGAGTGGATGTAGTGCGTTTTAGCTTTTTAACTGGAAATTCTAATTCACAGCGTACAAATGATTAGAGTGTAATGTAATCGTCGTCCTTGCATTTGATATAGCGCCTTATCACGTCGTTGAGACGCCTCAAACGTTTGATGGAATATACTGTAAAGTGCAGCGACTATTTTATCGGCGAACCAGGGCAGCCAATTACGGGTTGAGTCACTAGATTTTTTTTTGGAGGGATTATTTCCCCGGAAAGCAATCCGCCAACCAACTAACCAGCAGGTTCCTGCTTACTGCTCGGTTAGCAGAGGCATGTGGAGTAAGGAAACTTGACTAAGGTCTCGTCCTGCCCGGGAATGGAACCCAGGTCCTCTTGCTAGCGCTAAGCACTACAGTACAACTCCAATGTATTTTTGACCTCACAAAAGCGGTGGCCACTCAATTGCTTGAGCTTGAGTAGACTTGTAGCCAGAAGGTTGTGGGTTTGAATTGCGTGTATTCTCTCAGTCCCATCGGCCTTTCAAAGCTGATAAAATAAGCATATCTAAAAATATCTCTCTGGGGAGGGGAGATTGTGTGCGAGAGGTTAGGCGTGACTGAATTGGTGTCTAGAAAATCCACTGTTGACAGATTGTTAATGTCTGCTTCATTTTTCAATGAGACTTTGAGGTGTGTTCATGTCCTCAATCCTGCAAGCTAAAGCTTTAATTGTTAGAGAGTTGTTCTAGCTAGAATGTGCTAGTAGATATGTAGTTACTTTACTTACCTACTGTTAAAATCTGATATTGAGTTTCATTGTCACGGAATATTGGGATAATAATAATAATAGTCCTTGCATTTGATGTAGCGCCTTATCATGTCTTCTAGACGTCTGAAAGCGCTTCACAGAATATGCTGTAAAGTGAATTGACTGTATATTTTGTGGGCGAAAAGCAGTAGCCAATTGCGCACAGAAGTGTCCAATTTATTATAATTTTTTTGAAGGAATTGTTAACCCCGGAAAAGCTAATCGACTTAACAACCGGGTTCCTCCTTACTGCTAGGTAAACAGGTGTGTGGAGTAAGGAAACTTGCCCAATGTTTCGCCCTGCCCAGGATTCAAACCCAGGTCTCTTACTTGCGAGGCGAGTTCTCTAACCACTGAGCCACAGGATTCCAGGATCAGCATCCAAAAAAGAAAAGGGTGAAAATAATAATAATCCTTGCATTTGGTGTAGCGCCTTATCATATCTTCAAGTTGTCTCAAAGCGATTCGCGGAATATACTGTAAAGTGAATTTGGTTGTAATTTAAGTGCTCTGGGACACTACCCTGTGTGAGGAGCGCTACATAAATGCAAATTGTTGTATATTTTGTGGGCGAACGTCCTTACTGTCCTGAGAGACATTTCTGACAGAAAGAAGCTAAATTCTTCAGTCAAGTGTAGCTCTTCACTCTACGTCATGTCCAGTTGTCTGGCGAATTAGTCATCATTCTTCCAACGAGTAGGAGAATATTTTGGATTGGAACATTATCACATCGGTCACGTTACCTGTAAGGTAAGACGAAAATCAAGAGTCTCTTACGTGGATACGTTTGTACAATGTACCTTATTGTGAACTCGATCTGAGACAAAATTATGCCTAATAATCTCTGATAATCTGGGTCTGAGACCTGGAGCTCACCACTGAGCGACCATCTCCTTTGCCACTGTGTTCAGTTCTGGCCACCGCACCTCAGAAAAGATAATATGACCCTCGAGGGAGATGCACAGCGGATTCACCAAAATGATACGGGGACTTAAAGGGTTAAATTACGAGGACAGAGTTGCGTAAACTTGGTCTGTATTCCCTTGAGTTTAGAAGGTTGAGGGGTGATCTGATTGAGGTGTTTAAAATGATAAAGGGATTTGATGGGGCGGCTACAGAGAAACTATCTCCTCTGGTGGGGAGGAGGGGCATCATAAAATTAGAGCCAGGCCATTTAGGAGTGAAATCAGGAGGCAATTTTTTCACGCTAAGTGTAGTGGAAATCTAGAACTCCCAAATTTTCAACACTGGTGGATAGATTTTTTGTTAAATCAGGATATCAAGGGTTTATGGGGCAAAGGCAGGTGATTGGAGTTGAGGTACAGATCAGCCATAGTCGAATAGAATGGTGGAACAGGCACGAGCGGCTGAATGGCCTACTTCTGTTCCTACGTTCCCACAAAGCAGTATGAAGAGAAAGCCCCAACAACCGCCACCTCCTCAGGAACAGCTGAATAAGAGATGATTAGAAACAGGTATTAACAACAACAAATTGCATTTACGTAGTGACTTTTCACATCGGGAGGAAGTGCCAAGGCGCTGGACAATGAGGGGTTTGCAGCCGAACTGCGGATTGGGAACAGAGAGGGGTTAGGAGGGCAAGGGGTGTGGAGGAGATGACCGCAGGCACGGCCGAAAAAGGAAAGGTCTCGAGACTGACCTTGAAGGAGGAAAGGGGAAGCGAGGTGGAGGGGCTCTGAGTTAAGAGTTCCAGAGGATGGGGGCAGAAAGGCTGAAGGCCAATAATAATAAAATTATAATAAAAAGTAATAGACAAAAACATGATAATATTTACTATAATACAATAAATATAATAAACATGATAATAATATACGGTCAATTCACTTTACAGTATATTCCGTAAAGCGCTTTGAGACTTCTCGAAAACGTGAAAAGTGCTATATCAAATGCAAGGATTATTATTATTACGGTGTAAAAATAATCTTGGACCATCTACTGTTTTACAGATTAACCAANTTTTTTGTTGCAGAATTTAGCCCACCCTTGCCTGACCACGGTGAGGGAAGGTAAAATCAACCAAGTTTACTAGTACTTGTTTCTCTGCAGCATTCGTTACTGGTAATGTACGTGTGTGCAGCTCAGAGGTAGACAGGCGATGCTCAGCTGCGACACTAGCAACAACAACAACAACAACATGCATTTATTTATCCAGCACCCTTCACATGGGGCAGAGTCTCGGAGCGTTTCTTGGCCACCGATGGTAGAGCGGAGGGGTTTGAGGGACAAGCAGGAGGTCTAACGATATACACTGACTGACAAGTGAACAGCGGTCAGGGTTCTGGAAAGTAATCAGCACATACTGAACCAATGGAATTAAGCAATTAGAAGATTAACCGGACACACTAAATTACACTGAATTTACATATTAGAAAATAATTGTTGGGGTCAAAACTGAGGGAACTGTAGCATCTGAAAACTGCAACTGGATGTGATTGCTGGGTTAGTTATTTTGGCACAAAGTTTGTTGTACTGCAATTAATTGAAGTGTGTGTGTGATGGGCTATAGGATTTCGACCTACAGTGGGAAGTTTTATCTTTGAAAAGCTAAACAGAAAAGCTGCATTGAAATCTAACGCAGGAAAATGCGAGCATCCAAACTGTTTTTCCTTGGTCAGCCGGGTATCTGACACATGCGGAAACCTATCACCTATCAGTTGCTTAAGAGTATACAAACCAAACTGAGAATTCCATGCATCCCATCTACACATGGGAATTGCAGAGATAGATTGTTGGAATGGAATGCGCTCTCTCTCCCTGGAGGGATGCATCCTGTTTACCTAATTCTGGAAAGTATTAGGTTGGCAAGAGCCAAGGCTTGGGGACCCCAGAGTGTGCGTTGGGATTACTGCTGGAGTCTAACCAGCCCAAACCACGTAGCTTGCAATTGATATCACTGTCTGGCAAGCTTTCCCGCCGCTTGTCCGGATAGGACCACCCTACCCATGAGGGCTTTGCCTTGCAGGATTAACAAGAGGTGATTCCCTGCCCACAGTGACTGGTCTGCCCTTCCAGGTTTTGCCGATGGACCAGGCTGGGTTGTCATCAGCAGTGAGTGCCCTGGAATACTGCGGACCCACCTGGCTCAGGAACCGAGCTGGAGACCGTCACGGGGAGGGCTGCCTGGCTCCATTCCAACATTCGGTTGCCAAACACGTCACCTCGCAGCCTGTTCAGCTCCAAGGAGACCCCATTTGTCTCAACAACAACAAGATTACATTTGTATAATGCTTTTCACGTCGGGAGGACGTCCCAAGGCGCTGGACAGTGTACAGCATTTCAAAATGTCTCGTTAAACAATAGCAAACCGATTCTGACCACTGGTGAATAGCAACTTAAGAAAATAAACCAATACAATTATTGTATTTCTCTTGTCAGTTTTGTACTTGGATGTTATTGGGTTGGATGCACCCACTGTCATAGAAGAAATAATAGTTTATGAATGAATTTTCCTGAAATAAGTTTTTTTAAAAAAAACGGCCTTGTGTAAGATAAAGAAACTTAAAGTCTTGCATTCTTTTTCTCGTACCGTTGTTGCGACAGGAAGTTAACCGATAAGTAAATTAAGTTTAGTTTTCAAAAGGAATTTTACAAAACAACACGCTCTGTAACAAACATGTTTATTTGTGGTTGGTTTGAAAACTGTATTTGGCTCAAACCCACTCTTGTGAGATGTCGAACAACCAACTAGGTTACATGCCAGCACAATTGGTAGCACTCTCGCCTCTGAGTCAGAAGGACGTGAAGCCCCATGTGGGAATTTGATCTCACAGTCTAAGCTTACACTCCAGTGTAGTGTTGGTGAAGCCTAGAAATGTTGGAAATACCGTCTCTTGGATGAGATGTGAAAACGAGGTCTCAGCTGCCTGTTCAGGTGGATGTTAAAGGTCCTGTGACGAAAAAAGAAGCGAGTTGCTCACAGTGTCGTGGCCAACAATCCCCACAAATAAAATTGCTCATTCGGTTCATGGCCGTTTGTGGGACATTACTGTGCGCAAATTCACTGCTGCGTTCGCTTACAAAAATACACAGTCGCTAGGCTTTACAGTAATTCGTGTGAAATGCTTTGAGATGTCTCCATTGTGTGATCATGTAGTGTATAAAAATATATAATAATTTGGTCACTCAATCCACGATTGCTGTGTGCAATTTCACCCACAAAATACACAGTCAATTCACTTTACAGTATTTCTGTGAAGCGCTTTGAAACATCTTGAAGACGTGATCAAGCACTCTATCAAATACAAGGATTATTATTATTATTAACATAGCGCCTTTCATGTGGACTGAGCCCAAGCAAAATGGAAGATGCTCAGTAACTGTAGGTCCTGTGGAAAATGTAAGATTTGGGGTCTGATTTAAAGACAAATGGAGCTAATTTCCGCAGCAACCAGTGGAATTGAAAGTAGTTGGCCCTGGGCCAAGGCAGCAGAAGATTCTGTTCCTCAATGAAAAAGGTCCTCAGCAGGGGGACTTGTTGGCCGGTCACGCAAATTGCATCTAGCTGGTAATGTTCATTGACATCCAGCAGGCGGTGATGGATTGACAAGGGGATTAAAGTGCAAAGGGATGATTCTGCTGGATGAGAGAGAGAGAGACCAGAGTCGATCATCAAAGCTGCTCCTTTGGATCATTAAACATCAAATGTTGAGGCTCCATCTACCAGCACCTGGAGAAAATGCCAACCAAGGTAAGAAGAGGCGACGGATTGAACCAGTTTAGTCATTGAGAATAACTCAACATGTGTGTGTGTCTCTCTCTTGAAAGCAAAAGTAACTTGCTTATAATTGAAGTTTAGATGTACGGATCAGACTGTGTTCAATGATTCTGATTGCATTGTAAGAAAAATTGTTTCGCTGAAAAAAATATACAGCCAATTCACTTTGCGCTATATTCTGTGAAGCACTTTAAGACGTCTCGAGGACAAAGATAAGGGGCTATGTCAAATGCAAACATTATTATTACTATGATTATGATTACGAGTCAGTTGTGTGTGCCTGGTTCCCGTTGTTGGTTTAAAAAAAAAGCAACTCAAGGTTTAGACATTTTTTTTAAACAAAATCTAATTTCAAGGCAAATGTGCTTTTATTTTAAGGGAAACTTCTGGGTTTTTTTTGGATGACTTAATAAGTTAATACTTAATAATTAATACTTAATACTTAATAAGGTACTTTGGACTAGATTAAAGGGGAACAAGTATAATAATAATTGAGTTGCAAGTAAGTGAAATGAACTCTTTTAAACCACACAGAGAAACCAGTTTTGGGGGTTTTCCAGGTTCTACCCATGACAACAACAACAAAAGGTTCATAAACATGGAGTCCTGTAGCTTAGTGGTTGGAGCACTTGTCTCGCAAGCAAGAGTTTGATTCCCGGACAGGACAATATGTTGGGCAAGATTCCTTACTCCACACGCCTCTGTTTATGTAGCAGTAAATAGGAACCCGGTTGTTAGTCAATTGGCGGATCGCTTTTTCGAGGGTAATAATCGCTTTATTCCCTTCAATAAAACTAAAAAATGTGGTCACTCAACCCATGACTGTTTGCGGGACGCTGCTTTGCGCAATTGGCTGCCACATTTCCCCAACAAAATATAAAGTCAAGTCAATTCGCTTTACAGTATATTCTGTGAAGCACTTTGAGACATCTTGAAGATGTGATAAGGCGTTATATCAAATGCAAGGATTGTTATGATAACATTTTTAAACAAATTCAAACATTGAGTGAAGCCACAGGGGTTTAAAAGAGCTGAAATCAACAAGCAAATGATAAATAATTGACGTTATTGCTCTCTTTTTCGTCCCTTTAGTTTCTGCTGTACTGAAGTACTATGCCTCGTTCTACATGTTGTATAATAATAATAATCCTTGCATTTGATATAGCCCCTTATCACGTCTTTGAGATGTTTCAAAGTGCCTCACAGAATATACCAATGAAGTGAATTTACTGTAGATTTTGTGAGAGAAACTCAGCAGTCAATTGCACACAGCAGTGTCGCCACAAACAGTCGGGGATTGAGTGACAACTTTTTATTTATGGAAGATTATTGCCCCCAGAAAGTGATCTGCCCATCGACTAACAACTGACTTCCTACTTCCTATTTTGTAAACAGAGGCGTGTGGAGTAAGGAAATGTGCCTATGGTGTCCACAAATTTACATTTAAATAGCAACTTTCACATCGGGAGGACTTTGTGTTTTTCCTATTCTGATCCATGGTCTCTGTAAATCCAAACTGAAAACATTAAACTTGAGATAAAGTAATGTTCTGTAGCAGTTTGTACTCTTACCTTTCAAACGAGAGGACCTGGGTTCAATTCCAGGGTGGGGTGAAACTTTAGGCAAGTTTCCTTGCTCTACCCGCCTATGTTTACCTGACAGTAAGTAGGAACCCAGTTGTTAATCGATTGGGTAATAATCCCTTAACAAGGTGAGATCCTTTCAATAGATGCTTCAAAACAAATAAATAATAATAAAAAATTTGGTCCCTCAATACCCAACTGTTTGTGGGACCCTGGGGTGCAAAATTGGCTACCACGTTTCCACCCACCATGGGCGGTAATCGAACCCGGGTCCTCTTGCTTGTGAGGCAAGCACAGGTGTTTTGTCAGCTGGGTGTCTGACACATGTGGAAACCCATCACCGTGCTTTAGCATCTCCAAAGCAAACAGGATTCCACGCATCCCACCAACACATGGAAATTCCAGAGATAGATTGTGGGAGTGGAACGCGCACTCTCTCCCTGCTTACCTAATTCTGGAAGGTATTAAGGTTGGCAAGAGCCAAGGTTGGGGTAAACTGCTGGAGTCTAACCAGCTAAAATCACATAGCTATCAATGGCAAGCTACGTGGTTTTAGCTGGTTAGACGAATGGCAGTAAAGCTGTGGCATAGTACTACAATCAAAGACTTAGTGCTTGTTTCTTTCTTTCTTAGGCAGTCGTTCAGTGCATCTTCAAAGGTCACACGGAAGGTGAACTAACGCTAACACTGGGAGAGATCATTACAGTTACCAGTCAGGTGAGATGTCTCCAGTAATTGGAGCAACAACATACTATATTCTGGAACCACTGTAACTTACAGCGAGATGCCCTGTTTCGATTTCAAGATCCTCTCACTCGTCTTCAAATCCCTTCATGCCCTGGCACCTCTCTACCTCTCAGACCTGCTTACTCCCCAGCCTCCTGCTGGTCCCTCGTGTCCTCCGTTCCACCATCTGTGGCTGCGCTTTCAGCCACTACGCCCCGACACTCTGGAAGACTCTTCCTCAATCCCTCCACCTTATCCCCTCCTTCCCCATTTTCATGTCACGCCTGAAGACCTTCCTCTTTGACCATGGCCGCGGTCTCTTTCCACCCCCGGCTTGGCGTCACCCTCCGCAACCGGGACACTACCCTGCATGAGGGGCGCTGTATAAATGCAAGTGGTTGTTGTTTCAAGAACTACTGCAAACCGGCCTCAAAATAATGATGCATTTTATTCACCTGGACCTGAGTTAACGATCCATCAAGTCGTTCGTGAATAACCATTTGGAAAGTCAGAGGCTTTCAAAAGACCTGCATAATTGTTTGTCCAGGGCACTGGTGATGGCTGGTTTGAAGGAATCAACTCTAATGGAGAGCATGGACGCTTTCCTGGAAGAAACGTTGAGGTACGATTCACAGTTGCTTTGATTGACAAGGATGTTCCCAGGGATGAGTAGATACAGCTATCAGAAAAGATTGGATAGGTTGCAGCTTTTCTTTCTGGAGGGGAGACAATTAAGAGGAGACCTGATCGAGGGGTTTGATTGTGGAGCCCTGTAGCGTATTGGTTAGAGCCCTCGCTTCGCAAGCGAGAGGCCCCATGTCCGATTCCCAGGCGAGACGAATCCTCAGGCAAATTTCCTTACTCCACGCACCTCTGCAGCAGTAAATTGGAATCCAGTTGTTAGTCGATTGGTGGTTAATAATCCCTTCAAAACAAATAATACAAATAATTTGGTCATTCAAGCCATGACTGTTTGTGGGATGCTGCTGTGCGTAATTGGCTGCCACGTTTCGCCCACAAAATATACCCTTTACAGTATATTCTGTGAAGCGCTTTGAGACGTATACAAATGTCGTTGTCTCACAACGCTATATCAAATGCAAGGATTATTAAGATTCTGAAAGGATTCAATAGGGCGGATGTTAAAGTGATGTTTTCGCTTGCCGCTGAGTCCATCGCTAAAGAACATATAAGGAAGGTAGCTAGTGGTAGATCTAGGAGGAACCTCTCCAGGCAGAGGGTGGTGGAATGTGGAACTTATTGATGAATGCTATGGGTTCATCAAATAGCATCAGTGTATTTCAGAGGAAACTTGATAAATGCACGAGTGAGAAGGGAACAGCGAAGTACAGGAGAGGTGGAGACTCACTTAGACACTTAGAGTGTGAAAACCTGCGCAGACTGACTGAGCTGAATGGCATATTAAAATAAATCGTAACGTGAAGAGTGACAAGGCAACCAAATGTGCTGCAGATGACAAGAAGACAATTCTAGAAGGAGGGACATTTCTGAATCTGGTATGATGGTCACAAAGGTGACTTTCTTTTTTTTTCTTACTCGTGTTTTAATTTACAATATTTGGCAGAAAAGGCACGAGGTGCTGACTGGCCTACTCCTGTTCCTGTGTAATATTTAATTTACAATTAAAATTAAAAAGGCAATCTAACAATTTATGTTTCAAGGCTGAAGAGCCCCAGTTTATTCATTTGTTCCTCATTCCTTGTACTAATGATGATGGTGCTAATAATTTTTGCATTTGATACAGTGCCATATCACAACATCGAGAAGTCTCAAAGAGCTTCACAGGATATAATAATAATCCTTGCATTTGATATAGCGCTTTTCACGTCTTCTAGATGTCTCAAAGCGCTTCATAGAATATGCTGTAAAGTGAATTGACTGTATATTTGTGGGCGAAACGCAGCAGCCAATTGTGCACAGCAGTGTCCTATAAACAGTCGTGGCAAGAAAATGACCAATTTATTATTGTTTTTTTTGGAGGGTTGTTATTAGGCATGTGGCATAAGGAAACTTGCCTAAGGTTTTGCCCTGCCTGGAATTGAACCCAGGTGTCTCGCTTGCACGGCAACTGCTCCAACCACTGAGCTACAGGACTCCACAATATCATTAGGTTTAGAGTAGTTTGGAAAGGTACAAGGAACAATCAAAGGTAAATATACTCAATTGGAAGAGGCTAATTTCAGTGAGTTGAAAAGGGGATCTGGCCCAGGTGGATTGGAAACAACGATTGACGGGTAAAATAGGAAAGAAGCAATGGGAGACCTTCAAGGAGGAGTTAGTTAGAGTACAGACCAAACACATTCCCATGAAGGGAAAAAGTAGGGCAGCCAAAGCAAGAGCTCCCTGGGGATGACTAAGGAAATTGGGATTAAAATGAAACAGAAAAAGGAGGCTTATGATAAATCTCAGGTTCAAATATATTAGAGAATCAAGCGGAATACAGAGTGCAGAGGAGAAATGAAAACGGAAATAAGAGGGGCAAAGAGAGTGTATGAGAAAAGATTAGCAGGTAACCTAAAAGGGAACCCTAAAGTCTTCCATAAACATATAAAGGGCAAAAGGATGGTAAAAGCAGAAGATGATCAGGAACCAAGAAGGAAAACTTCTTGTGAAGGCAGAGGGCATGGCTGAGGCACCGAATGAGTGCTTTGCATCTGTTTTCACAAAAGAGGATGCTGCCAATGTCACAGTAAAGGAGGAGGAGGTAGAGACATTGGGTAGGATTAAAATAGATAGAGAGGAGGTACTTAAAAGATCAGCAGAAATCAAAGTCGAAAAGTCACCCGGTCTGGATGGGATGCATCCTAGGTTGCTGAGGGAAGTTAGGGTGGAAATAGAGGAGGCTCTGGCTACTATCTTTCAATCCTCCTTGGATATGGGAGTAGTGCCTGAGGACTGTAAGCGCTGTTACATCCCTGTTCAAAAAAAGGGAGAGGGATAACCCTGTAATGATGTGGAAATTTCTAGAGAACAAAATCCAGGACAAAATTAATTTTCACTTAGAAAAACACAAGTTAATTAATGACAGTCAACATAGATTTGTTAAAGGCAAATTGTGTCTTACAAACTTAATTGAGTTATTTGAAGATATAACGGAAAGGATTGATGAAGGCAGTGCAGTTGACGTAGTGTATGTGGGCTTTCAGAAGGTGTTTGATAAGGTGCCACATAATAGATGGGTTAGCAATTGAATCCAATGGGATAAAAGGGACAGTGGCAGGCAGCATGGATACAAAATTGACTGGGAGACAGAAAGCAGAGGGTAGGGGTGAATGGTTGTTTTTCAGACCGGAGGGAAGTGTGAGTGGTTCTGCAACTTGTGGAGGGATCTTTATTGTGTTTCTCACCCTGACCTGGGAGTGTGGACCCACAGTGTAGAGGGAACTTTACTCTGTCTCTTACCCTGACCTGGGAGTGTGGATGAACAGTGTAGAGGGAGGCTGTCTTACTTGGCAGAGTTGAGGGGCCTCATGGATGGGGATGATGCTGTGGTCTCAGTGCTCCCGGGAGAGGCCACACATCACGCAGATTGGCTGCTGGTCCTCGGTGCAGTAAAGCTTGAGGGTTTTGTGGTGATTGGGACACATGATACTGCAAAGGGGTTGGACTATATTTTGTGGCAAAATGCAGCAGCCAATTGCCCACAGCAGTGTCTCACAAACAGTCGTGGATTGAGTGACCAATTTTATTTGAAGGATTGTTGGCCAGGACACCGGGACAGAGAAACTCCCTTCTCTTTTCAATAGCGCCATGATATACACCGGAACAGGCAGACAGGACCTCGGTTTAATGTATCATCCGAAAAACAGCCCCTCCAACAATGCAACACCCCCGAGAGTTGGCAGATTACTGCTATCGGGATAGGCTGCGTAGCATAAGTGAGGGTGCTTAAATTTGTAAAAGGGATCAATGACATTAGCATAATTAGGCTGTTCCCACTTGTTGGGCAGTGCGTTACTTGGCAAACAAGCATAAGATGACAACTAGAGGATGTGAAAGAGAATTTAGCAGAACTTCATGCAGAGGGAAGTGAGACTGTTGAATTAATCGTTTGAAGCTGGTGGTATCAGGAAGCAAAGACGCATTTAAGAGGAAGCTAGATATACAAATGAGAGAGAAGGGAATAGAAAGGTATGGGAGGGAGGAAGGAATGGGTGGAGACTCATGTGGATTGTAAACACTGGCACGGACTTGTTGGTCCGAGTGGCTTGTTTCCATTTTGTACAGTCTATGAAAATCTATGGTATAAAGCTGATTCTCCCTCATTTTTTTTTAAACCATTCTCCAGTTATTCCATGAGGATGAAGCCTTGCCTGAATATGAGACAATTTATGAGGAGCCGGATTACACCGAGGTACAAAGAAACAATACTTTGTTCTTCAGGACAATCGATGCAATGTTCTGTTTTCTTAAACTCAAGGTCTGCATTCTCGGGTTTAAATCCTTCCTCATGTCCCTCCCTACTTCTGTGACCTGACCACACGCAGCCACCACCCTCCCCAGCACGCCCAGCCCCCACCCAGCACGCCCAGCCCCCACCCAGCACGCCCAGCCCCCACCCAGCACGCCCAGCCCCCACCCAGCACGCCCGGCCCCCACCCAGCACGCCCGGCCCCCACCCAGCACGCCCGGCCCCCACCCAGCACGCCCGGCCCCCACCCAGCACGCCCGGCCCCCACCCAGCACGCCCGGCCCCCACCCAGCACGCCCGGCCCCCACCCAGCACGCCCGCCCCCCCCCCCCGGCCCCCACCCAGCACGCCCGGCCCCCACCCAGCACGCCCGGCCCCACCCAGCACGCCCGGCCCCCACCCAGCACGCCCGGCCCCCACCCAGCACGCCCGGCCCCCACCCAGCACGCCCGGCCCCCACCCAGCACGCCCGGCCCCCACCCAGCACGCCCGGCCCCCACCCAGCACGCCCGGCCCCCCACCCAGCACGCCCGGCCCCCACCCAGCACGCCCGGCCCCCACCCAGCACGCCCGGCCCCCACCCAGCACGCCCGGCCGCGCCCCCCACCCAGCACGCCCGGCCCCCACCCAGCACGCCCGGCCGCCCCCCTCACCCAGCACGCCCTGCCGACCCCTCCCCCCCCCACCCAGCCAGCCGCACCCCGCCCAGCCAGCGGGTAGTGGAGTGGGAAGTAAGCAGGTCGGAGAGGTAGGGAGGTGTCAGGGTTTGAAGGGATTTGAAAACAAGTGTGAGGATCCTGAAATCAATCCATTCGGCGATAGGGAGCCAGTAGAGCCGAGCTAGGACTGCTGTGATGGGGGTACAGAGTTTAGTGAAGGTGAGTATGTGGGCAAGGGAATTTTGGATTAGCTGGATCATGTTTAATTTAACTTAATTTAAGAGAGGTGTTCAAAATTATGAGGGGTTTAAATAGAGTAAATAAGGAGAAACTGTTTCCATAGGCGGGTGAGTCGGTAACCGGAGGACACAGAATTAAGATAGTTGACAAAAGAACCAGAGGGCAGATGAGCAGAATTGTTTTCACATAGAAAGTTGTTACGATCTGGAATGCATTCATAGAATCATAGAATTGTACAGCACCGAAGGAGGCCATTCGGCCCATTGTGTCTGTGCCGGCTCTTTGAAAAGAGCTGTCCAAATCAATCCCACTTCTCCACTCTCTCCCCGAAGCCCTGCAAATGTGTCTTTCCCAAGTGTCCACTGTCTGAAAGGGCGGTGGAAGCAGTTTTGATAATAACTTTCAAAAGTGAATTGGATAGGTACTTGAAAAGGAAAAAAATTGCAGGACTATGGGGCGAGAATGGTCGAGTGGGATTGATTGGATAGCCCGAATGGCCTCCTTCTGTGCTGTAAGATTCTATGATTTTATGTCTGTAAATAAATATTTCTGACCATGTTCACTTTTCTTTCTACAGATCAAACCACTGAATACTGACAACTGTTCAGTCTTTTCTGGTATGTACTCATCGTCACCTATAAATGACGAGCTATGTTTTAACTCTACGGTCATATCCACGCTTGTGTTAGCACCCTGTAATTTAATTCATGATTTAATTCATGAAATGCTCCTCATAAGCATGAGGAGTATTTCCTAACGGTAGATCCCTGGAATCACTCTGACACATGCGGAAATCCATTATCCTGCTTAAGAGTATCTCAACCGAACTGAGAATTCCATGCATCCCAACTACACATATTAATCCCCAGAGATAGATTGTTGGAATGGAATATGCTCTCTCTCTCCCTGGAGGGACACATCCTGCTTACCTAATTCCGGAAGGTATGAGGTGCGGGTTGGCAAGAGCCAAGGCTTGGGGACCCCAGAGTGTGCGTTGGGGTAACTGTTGGAGTCTAACCGGCTGAAACCACTTTAGCTTGCCATTGATAGCGCAGTCTGGCAAGCTTTCCCACTGCTTGTCCAGCTAGGACCACCCTATCCATTAGGGCTTTGGCTTGCAGTGTTAACAGGTGCTGAGTGGCATAAGTCCCTGCCCACACAATGACTGGTCTGCCCTTCAGGGCAGATGAGCCAGGCTGGCTGTGCTGTCATCAGCATTGCCCTGGAATACTGCGGACTCATCTGGCTCAGGATCTAGACCACTGAGACTGCCACAGAGGGCTGGCTCGATTCCGACATTTGGAATGCCAGGCAGGTCACGTGGGAGCCAGTTCAGCTCCAAGGAGACCTCACTTATTTCATATTCAAGATAAATGCATAGATATTTCATACCCGGAGTTGTCCCAACACTGTAGGTTACTAAACATTTCTGCCATTCTCATTACAGAATTTCTGGAATCAGATTATGAGCTAATATCCTTTGGGCTAGAGGAGGGGAAAGACAATCTTGAACAAATGTTAAAAAGCAACAGGAAGACAAGCAGGTAAAAAGGGATTCCAAATAATAATGTAACGTAAATGGGGTTTTGACAGAGTAAATAAGGAGAAACTGTTTCCTCTGGCGGGTGGGTCATTAACCAAAAGACACAGATTTAAGATAATTGGCAAAAGAACCAGAGGGGGAGATGAGAATTATTACGATCTGGAATGCACTGCTTGAAAGAGTGGGGGAAGCAGATTCGATAGCAACTTTCAAAAGGGAATAGGATAGGTACTTGAAAAGGAAAAATGTTCAAGGCTATGGGGTAAGAGCAGGGGAGTGGGATGAGTTGAATAGCTCTTTCAAAGAGCTGCCACTGGCCTGATGGGCTGAGTGGCCTCCTTCTGTACTGTAAGTTTCTATGATTCTAAACAAAATCGGATTTATGGCATTCATGTAATTCATTTCATGTGTCAAATTGCTGGAGGTTAAGATGGTTCCACCTCCAAAGTCTTGATTGTCTGTGAGTTATTAATTCTTGTCTGTCAGTTACTAATTCCTGTCTATGATTGGTACTGAGCAGAACCCTGAACACGAGGATCTTGAGACATCCTTCTTGACATCAAAAGATGCTTCATATACATAAATTGTTGTTGTTAAGGGTTGACTGCAGAGTCTTATGGGGAGGAGAAAAGGCTATGTTACCTGATGTCACATTCGATTGTACTTTATACCCAGCCTAACTTCCTTTGGTGGTGCATCAATTTCTAAAGAGACGTGTGGATGTACATCTCTTATATCAGACTGCAGTTTGTGAACCAGAACTTCACAGATTATAGGTGATTAACAACAACAACAAATTATATTTGTATAACGCCTTTCACGTCAGGAGGATGTCCCAAGGCATTGGTTAGTCAGAGAATTGGACCCGAGCAAGGGGTTTGGATTAGGAGGGGTGGAGGGCAGGGAGGGTAAGGATAGGCGGGTGACCGAAGGCCGAAGAGTAGTGTCTTGAGACGGCCCTTGAAGGCAAGGGAGCGAGGTGAAGGGACTGTGGGATGCAGTGAGGATGAAGGCCTTACCAACAATGGTGGGGCGGGCTGGCGGGGGATGTGGAGCAGGACAGAGCCTGCTGAGCAGAGGGAGCGCACAGGTCAATATGGAGTTAGCAGGTCACAGAGGAAAGGAAGGGCAAGCATGGAGGGATTTGAAGGAAATTAAAACTTACTTGCCTCAATAGAGCACGAGCAGCTTAGGTTCTCAGAGGTTCTAGTAATTCCATATTTGGGAGATAAAGTGCCACTTTGTTCAGCTTGTCCATTCGCATTTTGTTGGCTAATCCTACAGTAACACTGGCTGACATGGAGAAATCAATCATTCAGGCAAGCCTAACTACACAGGTAACGGATTCATTTTCTTGTGTAGTTTACAAGGGAAGAAAATAAAATAATCAGAAGCATTTTACACAGAAGAACACGGCATAATATACATGAAATTCACTTTACAATATATTCTGTGAAGAGCTTTGAGATGTCTCGAAGACGTGATGAGGCACTATATCAAATGCAAGAGGATTATTAAGGATTATTAAAATACAATTGTAAGATTTGGGTGTGATTTTGAATATGACAAAGTTTAAACCTTTTGCTCTCAGTACCTTGAGACTGATGCAGGTACAAAGTACAGTCAACAGTCACTTAAATTTTGGACCATAATAATAATAGTAATCCTTGCATTTGATATGGTGCCTTACCATGTTGCTGCGTTGGCTGAGTGGCAATCTTTCCTTTTCCTTGCCAGTGACAGAAAGCAAGGTGGCCCAACTGGCGGCCCACAGGCCAGATCCGGCCCTCGGGCTGATTTCATCCACCTGTGCCCCCACCCCATTTAATTTCATCTGGTCCACCTGCTCCCTCCATAACCATTAAATATTATGTGATGTTTCTGGAAGGGTAACACGAAAATATTGATTATGCAGACGTTTCTCTGGTAGGACATCCAGCCCTCAGCAGCCAAAAAGTTGGACCATTCAGTGTCAAACACACGACTGACCAGAAAAGAAAAGGGGAAGCGAGGTTGATATTTTAGATCTATTTGGATAGGTAGATAAAAAAGTGAGTGAAAAGGCTGTAATGACTCGTGCAAACACGTTAGATGAGGAAGTGTTCAGTCCTTAACCCACCAAGGCCTATACAAAGCCTTCTGCTTACAAGCCCGGTGAAGTGCCTCGATACATTGCACCAGATGCCAACAGCCCTGTTAAGTGACTCCTGCATTGACGAAACACAGTGTGCGGGCACAATTCTCCAGCACAACCAAACAAGGGGGATTGAGCAGTGCAAACTAATGCTGGTCTACATGCCGCTGAAATGGCAGCTCATCTCACGTGGGCCGTGACGATAGCAGCCGGAAAGGACGTGTGAGTGGATCCTATTCTGAGCTTGAGCTTGTACCTGACTGTTGCATGTGGAAGTGGTATCTATGGTGAACAAAGCCTAGGTTGCACCACAACAGATTGAACTGTGTCTCTCTCTGATAATATAACCACTTCTCCGGGTGTTTTTGCAGAGTGTATCATTTCACAAAAACAGAAGCAGAACCCTTCATCCTGGGAAAAACTGTGAAAACCACAACAAAAATAGCAATGATCGTGAGTAAGCATTTGATCATCTAACCTTACCTTTACCCTTAATAATCCCTTCAAAAATATATAATAGTTTGGTCACTCCATCCATGATTGCAGTACGCAATTAGCGACCACGTTTCACTCACAAAATATACAGTCAATTAACTTTACAGTGTATTCTGTGAAGTGCTTTGAGACGTCTCGAAGACGTGATAAGGTGCTATATCAAAGGCAAGGATTATTATTATCGCATAAGATCTTTTTTAACCATACGGTTTCCCCAACGTGTTTTACTCTGTGGGTTCACTGCAGATGCCTACAGATACATTCTCATGTTGAGAAATCCTGGCAGTGTTTTTAAGCCTTGAGAGCTGACTGCACCAATATGAGTTGAAAGGGAAGTAGTACGTCTTTGTTCCTTAAATCTTTTCAGGGTTTACACAGAAGGATACTGTGGCTTTAAGTCATTAGCAGGAGGATCAGTCAGCGGTGAATGTGAATTCTACATTTTTTAAACATTAAAAAAATCTATCAGTAAAGTTATACTAATTGATGTAAATCGCAACACAATATAAGATCACACAGCATTCATATCATAGAATCATAGAATTATGCAGCACAGAAGGAGGCCATTCAGCCCATTGTGTCTGTGCCGACTCTTTGAAAAGTGCTATCCAAATCAATCCCACTCCCCCGCTCTTTCCCCATAGTCCTGCAAACTTGTCCTCCCCAAACAATTATCTACATATACATACAGTTTACAAATAATAATAATAATTCTATCATTTGATATAGTGCCTCATTGTGCCATTGAGATGTCTGAAAGTGCTTCACAGGATTTTACTGTATACTTATAGGTGAATACAAGCAGCTGATTTGCACATGGCAATGGCAATGTCCCACAAACAGACATGAAGTGAATGACTGATTTTATTTTGGAGGATTGTCAGCTAGGACACTGGGAGAGAGAAACTCTCTTCTCTTATCGAATAGTGCCTTGAGGCCTTTAACATCCACCTGAACAGGCAGGCAGGACCTTGCTTTCATGCCTGATCTGAACGATGGCTCAGGAACACCCATAACCAATGCATAATACGTAGTTCACTCATTATGTCCCTCGAAAAAACATGACCTTGCCAGAAGGATGAAGAAGCAGTTTTTAAAAAAAAGGAACTTATGATCATCCAAGAGCAAGAATAAAGATAATTCTGCGCCTGTAGAAATAGCACTGCTATTACCAGAAAGTGGGGTGTAGTACTGGGGGAGCACTGCACTATCAGAGGTGTCATTCTGCAGATAATAATCCTTGCAATTTGATATAGCACCTTATCATCGTTGAGACTTCTCTAAGTGTTTACAGGATGCACTGTAAAATGAATTGTCTGTATGTTTTGGGGCGAAATGAGGCAGCAAAATGCTCACAGCCGTGTCCCACAAACAGTCGTGGATTAAGTGACCAAATTACTTAATTAATTTTTTTGAGGTATTATTAATCCCAGAAAGCGATCCGCCAATCAACTAACACACGGGTTCCGACTTACTGTCAGGCAGACAGAGGCGGTTTCAGTATGAAAACTTGCCATTGGTCTGGGAATTGAACCCAAATCCTCTTTCTCGCTTGTTTCCAAGCACTCTTAAGACCTATCTTTTCAACAGGGCCAAGGTAACTTCCCCCCCCCCCCACCACCCAGCTCGGGCTCCCAGTATGCTGTGTGAAGCGCTTTAGGCGTATTTCCAATGTGAAAAGCGGCATATAAATGTAAATTGTTGTTGTTTGCATCAGTGATGCCTTTGACCCACAGAAATCAGATCAGATTGTTATCACCTGAAATTAACGTGGTGCTTTACGTTTGCTTTAGTTCAACGAGAACGGTGCATCCTGGATTTATCCTATTGTTCCGTTAGAATGCACCGTAACCAATCCACAGATGGGATCCAAATATTCTGGAATGAAGAAATATATTTCTTACCAAATTACACCTAATGTAAGTATGAGTTACAGAGAGTTGAGACACAGGAGGAGGCTGTTCAGCCTAATCCATTAGATCATGGCTGATCTTCAACTCCAATTTACCCGCCCTTGCCCGTTATCCCTTGACACCCTGACCTAACAAACATCTATTCCTCAGTCTTGACAATGTGAATGGATCCAGCCATAATCCACAGCCTTTTGGGGGAGTGCGTTCCAGTTTTCCACTAACCTTTGCGTGAAAAAATGCTTCCTGATTTCACTCCTAAATGGCTTAGCTCTACTTTTAAGTTTATAACCCCTTGTTTTGGATTTCCCCACCAGAGGAACTGGTTTCCCTGAAGCTACCCTATCAAATCCCTTTTTCTTTTTAAATCTTTCTCTTAAAATGAACACTTGGGTCACATAGACTCATAGAATGTTAAACACAGAAGAAAGGTGCTATCAAATCTACTTCCACCACCTTTTCAGGCAGTGCATTCCAGGCCGTAACAAGTCTTTTGAATTCTGATGCTATCTTATTGGAAGGAATATTAAACCAAAGTTAAACGATGTAAGTTAAGTCTTGGCACTTTAACATTTCTATTTCACCAACATAATCAGCACAATCACACCCGGCCTGCTTCATATCTCCTGCCCCTATCTGTCCCACCATCGGCAGTCAGGCTTTCAGCCTATCTGCCCCATCTTGGTGTCCCTCCAACTCTCCCTGCCAAACTCCCCCCACCCTCACCTCATCCACGGTCTGTCTCAAGACCTTCCACTTTGACCACGCCTCCGGTCATCTTTCTTTCCCCTCCCCACCCCCTTCAGCTCCCAGCCACAGCTGAGGTGCAAGAACCATCAAGCACCTTGAGGCATCCTCCCAATGTGATAGGTGCTGTATAAATGTAAACTTGTATTGTATTTACAATATATCCTGTAAAGTGCTTTGAGAGGCCTTGATGACATGTTAAGGCATCATAACAAATGCAAGGATTATTATATTGTAAATGGTTCATTATCCCACTGATGTGGAATCCTGCAGCGTACTGATTAGAGCGTTCACCTCATACGTGAGAAGACCTGGTTACCTCTGCTTACCTAGATTGAGTGGATTGAGTGACCAATTTTTTTTGAGGGATTATTATCTCCAGTTAGACATCCGCTGATTGGCCAACAACTGGGTTCCTACTTACTGCTAGGTTAACAGAGGTGTGTGGATTAAGGAAACTTGCCGAAAGTTTTGCCCTGTCCAGGAATCAAACCCGGGTCCTCTCACTTGCGAGGCGAGTGCTCTAACCACTGAGTTACAGGACTCCACTGTAAAGTTTTAATCCCCCTCCACTGTAAAGATCATTGATTCGACTCTTTCCAAATCAATGAACAAATGAAAATGACTCAACAGCTTACAGCTTGGATGTCTCAATCAGTGGGTCGGAGGAGCGGGTCTGCCACAGTTAAGGGTCGGCAATAATCACTGCGCCAAGAAAAACTGCTTCAAGAGAGAAAAGTGATGGATCTAGGGAACGGTGAAGAGCGTTTTGGAAAATGCTGCGAGCTGTAGCTGTTTATTTGAGAGTTCTAGTAAAAATGTTTGCTTCCTGACACTCACTCACTCACTCACGTGGAACACTTTAAAGCGACTTAATTTCTTAACGTTTTGTAGGACACCGATAAATCAGTGTATCACCGATACAAACATTTTGACTGGCTGCACTGTCGACTGCTAGAGAAATTTGGCTCATTAATCGCCATCCCACTCCTGCCCGAGAAAGACATCCCATGTGAGTAATCTTTTGGAGGGTCAGCCGGGTGACTGACCCACGTGAGTAACGTGTTGTCAGCACACTTGGGACATGCCTGAGGTTTCCGTCACGGTGGTCAAAGTTCATTATGAATAGGAGAAGACTGCACTGCGTTATATCGTTGTCAAAATGTCCGATCTGTTATTAATATGGCATTGCTAATGACAGCACAGCCAGCCTGGCTCCTTGGCAAGACAACAGAATCCTACCACTCAGCTCCTTTTAACCCTGAAACGCAAAGTCCTAATGGGTAGGGTGGTCCTAGCTGGATACGCAGTGGGAAAGCTTGCCGGACATCAATGTGAGCTGGTTAGACTCCAGCAGTTACCCCCAACGCGCACTCAAGCCTCAGCTCTTACCAACCTGTGCCTAATACTTTCCGGAATTAGGTAAGCAGGATGCATGCCTCCAGGGAGAGAGAGAGAGGGCATTCCATTCCAACAAACTATCTCTGGGGTTTCCATGCATAGGTGGGATGCATGGAAATCACAGCTTGGTTTGGATCCTCTTAAGCACGGTGATGGGTTTCCGCATGTGTCAATCACCCGGCTGACCACAAAAAAATTAATATGGATGAAATGAACAAGAGACAATGCAGAAATTTCCCCTGAAAATATTATTGAGTCTTTATCTAACTGACACAATTGGCTAAATGTTGTCATTCGTGGTTTACCCACAAAATATAGTCAATTCACTTTACAGTATACTCTTTGAAGCGCTTTGAGAAGTCCCAAAGATAACAATAACTTGCATGTACATAGTGCCCCTCACACAGGGTAGCATCCAAGAGCACTTGACGCTAAGTTGGGGGGAGAAGGGAGGTGACATAGGTTGAAGAGGAAGGTTTTCAGGCGTGACCTGAAGATGGGGAAGGATGCGGCAAGGCGGAGAAATAGAGGAAGAGTGTTCCAGAGTTTCATGGCGTAGTGGTTGAAAGTGCGGCCACCGATGATGGAATGGAGGGCACGAGGGACATGCAGGAGGCTGGAGCCAGCCAAGTGGAGGCAGTGGGTTGGGGGTAAACAGGTTGAAGTGAGAGGGAGGTGCCAGAGCACCAAGGGATTTGAAAACCAGTGTGAGGGTCTTGAAATCGATTCATTCGGTGATAGGGAGTCAGTGGAGCCTGGCTAGAAATGGTGTGATGGGGCTACGGAGTTTAATGAAGGTGAGCATGTGGGCAAAGGAAGTTTTGGACTTGCTGGATCTTTTGGATGGTGGAGCCGGCGGAGACCGTCGAGGTGGTCGTAATAAAGCACTAAGTCAAATGCAAGGATTGTTAATATTATTTTTTGACTGTCCGTTTACGTTTTATTTTCGCACGTTTTCCCTCTGAAAATATTTTCTACCTCTAGGGCGCTTCAGTGATGAATTTGTGCTGGGTCGAATGGGTGGTTTACAGGCCTGGATAAACCGCATGTCTCGCCACCCTGTTGTCGCGCACAGTGACATCTTCCAACATTTTATCAGAACCACAGACGTGAAAGTGAGTACTCAGCCAGTGCTTGCAGATGATCAAAATCATACCGAGCATAATATACAACAACAACAACAACAAGATTAAATTTGTATAGCAAGAAACATTTATGTTCCGCCTTTTTTGTATTTAAGAATTTGCCAAATTCTGGATGCTGTGAAATAATAATAATAATCCTTGCATTTGATATAGCCCCTTATCACATCTTCGAGATGTCTCAAAGCGCTTCGCAGGATATACTGTATAGTGAATTGACTGAATATTTTGTAGGCGAAAATGTGGCAGCCAATTGTGCACAGCAGTGTCCCACAAACAGTCGTCGATTGAGTCAGTCACTGAATTTATTATTATTATTATTTTCAAGAGATTATTAGCCCCAGAAAAGCAATCACCAATCAACTAACAACTGGGTTCCTACTTACTGCTGGGTAAACAGAGTCGTGTGGAGTAAGGAAACTTGCCCAACGTTTCGCCCCGCCCGGGAATTGAACCCAGGTCCTCTCGATTGTGAGGCGAGTGCTCTAACCACTAAGCTATAGGACTCCATATAATAGAAATTATAATAGAAATGCTACATAAACAGAGCGAATCTAGCCACAGGTGGAATTTCTTTCCAGTTGTTGGGCAGATGAGATTTATTGTGTATATGTGCTCAATAGAGGACCTCTTTGTTTTGGGAGCGCCTGCACCAAAATTGGAAAAGTTGCCTTTGTGAGCAAAAAGCAATCAGAACCACTTCAATAAGCACAAATGGAAATAATGCAGAAGCTCACTGCCTTGCATCAGATAATGCCCTGTGGACAGTAATTTGCATTTGCCCATTCTTGCTTATGGAACTGGAGTCCTGTAGCGTATTGGTTAGAGCACTCGCCTCACAAGCGAGAGACCTGTGTTCGATTCCCGGGCAGAATGAAACCTTAGGCAAGTTTCCTTACTCCACACACCTCTAGCAGTAAGTCGGAATCCAGTTGGTAGCTGATTCCCGAATCGCTTTTCCGGGGGTAATAATCCCTCCAAAAAAAGCTGAAACTAAAAATAATAATTTGATGACTGTTTGTGAGACACTGTTGTTTCGGGCAAAAAAAATGTACTAGTCAATTCACTTTACAGTATATTCTGAGAAGTGCTTTGAGACATCTCAAAGTCATGATCAGGTGCTATATCAATTGCAAAATTATTATTATATTATTATAATAATGGATGATGGAAAGCTGCAGTGTTGATAACTTCCAGGAATGGAAAATTGGCAAACGAATAGCAGAAAAAGATGAAGCAGTTGGAGGAATGATCTTCGCTGAGGTTATGGCATCATCAGAGTTCAGGCTGCTGGATGGGTAGGTGCCTTCTCTACAGGTCAACCCAACTAATGACCCACTTGGCTAACATGCGCCTGCTATGTGTCCTTCCTGCCCTCAGAGTGGCCGACTTTTTATCCAAAACACCCCTCACCTCAGGAACTCCACACCTCTATTTAGCTGTTAATGCGGTTACAACAACTTGCATTTCTATAGCTCCCTTCTCATGTCTATTTTGTGAAGTCCGTAGAAAGAGACCTGTAGCTTAGTGGTGAGAGCACTCGGCTCGCAAGCAAGAGACCTGGGTTCAATTCCCAGCAGTGCGAAATGTTGGGCAAGTTTCCTTACTTCACACGCCTCTGTTTACCTAGCATTTACCAAGAAGGAACCCGGTTGTTAGTCGATTGGTAGATCGCTTTCCAGGGGTAATAATCCCGTCCTCAAAAAATAAAAAAATGGGTCACTCAATCCACGACTGTTTGTGGGACTCTGCTGTGCGCAATTGGCTGCCATGTTTTCGCTACAAAATACACTTTACAATATTCTGCGAAGCGCTTTGAGATGTCTCAATGACCCCGTATCAAATGGAAGGACTATTATTATCACCGTGTTAGTTAACTTAGTTGTGCAGCTCTTTATATTTGTTGACGAGATTTTTGTTTCGATTTATTTTATACCGACAGCGAAGAAACAGAAATGTTTCTGACCTTCGTAAAATGTTTGGGAGAAAGTATTAAAAACCTCACAACAGTGGTGGAGGAACACTGGATACGGAACACTGGAAGTACGTAATTGTTAAATCGTTACTTATTTTACAAGTGTTTTATCTATTCCCTAAAAGCAATACCATTCAAGAACATATAAATTAGCTGGACGAAAGAAGACCAAGGTCCATCCCGTTCGCCTTCCACCATCCTGGCAGTCCCATGCATATGTCGTGCTCCAAACTATTCACTGTAGCTCAAGATATTATTTCCTAACAGAAATCTATCCAATTTGTCGTTGAAAGAATCAATACTTTCTGCTTCCTCCATCTCCCAACAGGGAGCCTGTTCCATATATTTACTGCCCGCTCACTGAGGTATTGTTTCCGCAGATTTGTTCTGACTTTACCCCCCCCTTCAATCGCGGGCTGTGCCCTCTGGTTCTTCTTATCATGACTACATTATCTGGTCCCTTTAGAATCTTAAAAACTGTAATCGTATCATCCCTCATGTTTCTCAACTCCAGTGTGAACACACCCAGTCTATTTAATCGCTCCTCATAGTCCAGTCCCTCTGTCCCCTCAATCATTTTGGTTGCCCTCCTCTGTATCCTCCTAATCGTTCCAATATCCTTTTTATATCGCGGTGACCAGAACTGCACACAGTATTCCAAGTGTGGTCGCACAGGTGATTTACAAAGTGGCAGGATTGCCCCACCCATTTCGGCTCAATATTGCCCTTTCAATACAACTCACCCAACCATTTCTGTTAAAGGGAAGTGAACTGATGGACATGTATTTATGGTGACCCCTAAAGCCTGATTGTATGGACCCAAACCATTGCTTTATAATACCTTTAATAGGCTAAAGAAAAGTGTTGTTTTCCTGCTGGTCCTCTTGTCTTAAATTCCTTCCTCATCTGAAATCACCCAATTTGGAACATAGAAACAGGAGTAGGGCTTCCAGCCCCTCGGGCCTGTCCCATCATCCTTTTAGATCACGGCTGATCTGTACCTCAACTCTAATTACCCACGTTTGCCCCATATCCCTTGATACCCCGACCTAACAAACATCTATCCACCTCAGTCTTGAAAATGTGAATGGATCCAGCATCCACAGTCTTTTGGGGGAAGGGACTTCCACATTTCCACTACCCTTTGCGTGAAAAAATGCTTCCTGATTTTACTCCTAAATGACCTAGCTCTAATTTTAAGATTATGCCCCCTTGTTCTGATCCAGCATTCACAGCCTTTTGGGAGAGAGAGATTTCCACTACTCCTTTGTGTGAAAAATTGCCTCCTGATTTCACTCCTGAATGGCCTCACTCTAATTTTAAGATGATGGCCCCCTTATTCTGGATTCCCCCCACCAGAGGAAATAGTTTCTCTGCAGCTACCCTATCGAATCCCTTTATCATTTTGAACACCTCAATCAGATCAGCCCTCAACCGTCTAAACTCAAGGGAATACAGACCAAGTTTATGCAACCCCGTTCATGTAATTTAACCCTTTAATCCCTGATTAATTGGGGTTGATCGTCTACTCCTCTCGCTGTAGTTTGTAGGATGGAGCCAGCTCAAATGAACTACTCTACTCTACGTGCCTTTGTAGGAACCGTCATTTCATTCTAATAATTTCATTGCTTAAAACATTTTTGAGATGTTTCTTTTACGTGAAAAGCATGTCATGACTAAGTTGTTGTTGATAATGGACTTAAATGGGTGACGATCAGCACTGCACATGTCTTGCGTGAGGCAATAAATGGAAAGGCGACTCCACAGAAAGGATAGAAAGGTTGAGGTACTCAAGAATGAGAGTCACGGAGCAATAGTTATCTAATACTCTTCAGTGGCTGTCGAGTACTTGACCAGTCATTGTGAATGCTATGCACATGGGAAACTAATCGCTCTTGTTGTACCTATTGTTAGCTTATATTCAAGTAATTCTCTTGGCTACAAATATTACAATCTACAGAGTCTCCACAAAGTCCTGTTACCCCCATGTGCTTTCCCTACAGTGCGCTGACCAACAGCTGAAACATGTGGAAGAATGATGACAACTGTATTTAGAAGTGTTTAACTGTATTCAGTGGTTGACTGTATTTAGATGTCCAGAGGATGAGTGTGAGTGAGCGTCATCATTTTCATGGCATATAATGATCCATCGCCACATCTTCCGTAGCATGATGGAGTGAGTGCCAAGGTGAAATGCTTCTCTGACAGCTTGTTTCAGCTCCTCTGTAGTTTCGTACAGCTGTTTTGCGGCAGGGGCGTAAGAGGATTTTGTGGACGCCCTGTACATTGTGGGCACCCAGATTAATCCAAAGGACAGACTGGACATGTCACAGGTTTTTGGTGTTCTGCAAAACTGGTAACAAACTCAGTGCTGCTGCTTCAGTGTGTTAGGATTCCCATTTATTAGCGTATTTTTAACATTTGTTTTAAATCTGTTTTTACAGCAGTGAAATCCGAATACCACAAAATTGGAAAAAGTTTTCTGGATTTCTCAGCATCCTTTGCTAAAAGCAAATACCATGGTAAATAAATAAGTATTAATATTATTTAATAACCTATGATAATATTAAGTAAGGTACATATGTGAAGCACTTTGACACGGCTCAACAATGTGATAAGGCGCTATATCAAATTCAAGGATGAAAGTACATCTTTAAGTATAACATTTCAAATTGATTAGAAAGACTACGTTGTCTTTTTATGTGCTACGTTCTGTCAGTTTTGACCCTTGCTTTTGAGGCTTTATTGTGATTTATCATTTCGCCCATGGAAAAGCGATCCGCCGATCGAGTAACAAACAGGTTCCTACTTACTGCTAGCAAACAGGCATGTGGAGTAAGGAAACTTGCCAACATTTCGCCCTGTCGGGAATAGAACCCAGGTCACTCGCTTGCGAGATGAGTGCTCTAACCACTGAGCTGCAGGATTCCATATTGTTGGTCAGGCTATTGGGAGAGAGAACTCCTTTTTCTTATGGAATAATGCCATGGGATCTTTAACATCCACCTGAACAGGCAGATGGGACTTTGGTTTAACGTCTCATCCAACGTAATCCAATATGGATTCTGCCTCAACCATCGCTCCCGGCAGGACATTCCATTTCCTAACTACTCTGTGGGCGAAAGGAATCCTCCTAAGCTCCCCATTTGCTAACATAAATTGATGCCCTCTAGTCAAACTGCAGTATATTAAATTGATGCCCTGTGGTAAAGAGTTTGTGACGCATTCTTCACCGTTTCAATGGTACAGAGAGTTCATACCCTGCGTTCTTAAAAACATCTGTATTGACTGGCTGTTGAGCGATTTAATGGACAGTTGTTGTGACAAGGCATCACAGAGCCCATTAATACCAGCAAGTACACGGTTTTATGTTGTGAATCATTCTCTGCTTCTTGGCTGGGTGCCACCGATTTTTGGGGGGCGGGGTCAGCTGGGTGTCTGACTGGTCTGCCATTCTGAGTCCTGCCAATGTCCTGCCTGTGCGGTCATCAGCAGTGCCTGGAATACTATGGACCCGCCTGGCTAAGGAACCGGACTGCCGAGACCGCCACTGCGGGCTGGCTTGATCCCAACATAACGTTGACAAGAATGTCACCTTGTCCAAGGAGACACCTCCAACCTCCGCCCCCCCCCCACCCCCTATCACCTCCATCTCGAGGAGGATGTCAATTTGGCCACCAATCTGAGAGCGGTCAAGCAACTGCATTGACCATGTATAACTTCAGCTGAGAGAGTCTGAAACAATACACCAAAGTTGAATTGACACTTCAGGCCAAAGATACCGAGGGCAATCCTGATTAGTGAAGATCCTGCTGAGACTTGGACTAAACTTATCTTTACTTTTCTTTTCCAAAAGAGAAAGATTCAATTACAAGTGCATTAGCTTTCGCTGGAAAAACATACAACGACATTGGGGATCTTTATTCCGATCAGGTGAATATCATTTTAAAACGCAGTTAGCTGTCGCCCGCCTGGCCCACCCCACCATCAGCGGTCAGGCCTTCAGCCTCTCTGCACCCCCCTCCCCCACCCTTTGGAACTCCATCCTACAGTCTCTTCGCCTCGCTCCCTCCCTTCTCTCCTTCAAGGCATGGCTCTTCGACCATGTCTTCGATCACCCTTCTACACCCATCCTGCCTGCCCTCTACCCCTCCTGATCCCAAACCCTAGTTCGTGTCCAAATACCTGACTGTCCAGTGCCTTGGGACGTCCTCCTGATGAGAAAGGAGCTATACAAATGTAATTTGTCATTGTTATTTAACCACCAAGAGTTCTGATACATCCGTGCCATGACCCGCTCTGCCTTTCCCCAACTCCACAACATTGCCTGCCTCCATGAACCTATCGCCCCCACCCTCGTCAGGCTCCACTAGCTCCCCATCCCCCGGGGTTAGTGGTCAAAATCCTCATCTTCACCTTCAAAGCCCTCCCCGGCCTTGCTCCTTCCTTCCTTTGCGGCCTGCTGACACCATATCAACCTGTCCGTTCCCTCCCCTCACCAGGCTCCGGCCTGCTGCACGTCCCCCACCCAGCCCGCCCCACCATTGGGCGTTCAGCCTTTTTGCCGCCACACCTTGAAACTCCATCCCACTGTCCCTTCACCTCGTTCCTTCCCTTGCCTCCTTCAAGGCACATCTCAAGACCCTCCTCTTCAACAGGGCTTTCAGCCGCCCTCCTACCCCTACCCTCAACTGCTCTTGATCCCATCCCCCTGCTCTGGTCCGAATCCCTGGATGTCCATCGCCTTGGGACATCCTCCTGAATTGAAAGGCGCTGTGTGAATGCAATTTGTTGTTGTTGTTATTGTTGTACAGATGGTTTGGAAATTTTACGCAGATTGTATAAGAATATTTGTTTCATGCGGATTTTGTTGCATTGGTCTGAGTAATTGCTTCTTTTCTTGTTTGTGTTGCAGCCAAAGGAAAATGTGCACTACTTGCTTGAGATTAGTAAACAGTACAAAGGGCTGCTGTCATGTTACCCTGATATAATAAATGTCCTCAAGGTTAGTTGTGATTATTAGTTACTCTGAATGAAATACCTGTATTAATGAATGCTCTTAATGTAGTTCGTCTGCAAAATACATAGTCACTACATTTGTGGATTGGTTAGAGCACTCGCCTCGCAAACTAGAGGATCTGGGCTCGATTCCCGGCAGGGTGAAACCTTAGGCAAGTTTCCTTACTGCACATACCTCTGTTTACTTAGCAGTAACCTGGTTGTTAAGACGATTGGTGGATCATTTTTCTGGGGATAATAATAGCTCAATCCACAACTGTTTGTGGGACACTGTTGTGCGCAGTTGGCTGCTGTGCTTCGCTCACAATATACACAATCAATCCACTTTACAATATATTCTGTGAAGTGCTTTGAGATGTCTCGAAGACGTGATAAGGCCCGATATCAAATGCAAGGATTATTATTATAAGGTGTATGGAAATACTTTTCAACCTAGTGCATTATTTTTTTAAAAAACAAAACAAAGAATAAATTACTCTTTCATTCAGTATACACACTAAAGTTCTATAAAATGCATGTGGGTTTTTGAAAAAATCTCTGATGCACGTTTATCAGCCTTAAGAATTTTATTTGCATCCGTTAAAAAACAATGTTGAAACTTATTGTTTTCTTGCTTATGACCTGCCCTACAGCTAATGGAGGGTGATTGAAACTATTAAGAGGTTCTTATTTGGGACTTTTAGACAGCCATTATGTTCCTGCATAAGTTACTAGGACAGCAGTGTAGTCAAGAGATCATAAGAAATCAAGCAAAAAGCATGTAGCGTATTGGTTAGAGCCTTGCATTTGGTCATTCAATCCGTGACTGTTTGTGGGACACTGCTGTGCACAATTGGCTGCCGCATTTCACTCACAACATATGCGGTCAATTCACTTTTCAGTATATTCTGTGAATCACTTTGAGACATTGTGCAGCATTCTCACTTACATCCTCCCAATGTGAAAGGCGCAATAGAAATGTAAGTTGTTGTTGACTTGAAGACGTGATCAGATTATATCACATGCAAGGATTATTATTATTATTATTATGTAAAAAAAGAGTGCAATCTTTTACATTGTTTGTTACTCAGTGAAGGAGCATTGCTGGAGTTTCCCAGGTATTGGAGGGTAGTGGATTATTATATTATCAGGGTTAAATCCTTTAATGAATGAAGATTCTGAACGGTGGAGTTCTCACACACAAAGTCTTAAAAAACAAAATAATTTTCAAAACTTCTGTTTTCCACTACGTATGAGTGATTTTTTTTAATAACACTGCTTCAAATAATGTTATTAAAAGAAATTAACCCATAGCATACGTAATAAACACACATTCTCCGTACTGACATCACAAGATATCACACCTTTTTCCTTCAAATCTTATCAAATAGCCATATCCCTCTCCGAATTATTCCCACAAATATTTATATAAACGTGGTGTAATACAATATTATATAAATATATATATTTTTAAAAAGCCTTTTAGGTGGGAAACATGAAGCAAGCATTTGTTTTCAATCAGAGTCTTACTCCTATATATAATACCCTAATGTTTTAATTACAACAACAACAGTTTGTGGAGTCCTGTAGTGTATTAGTCAGAGCACTTGCCTCGCATGCGAGAGGACTTGGGTTCGATTCCCGAGCAGGATGAAATGTTGGGCAAGTTTCCTTACTCCATATGCCTCTGTTTACCTTGCAGCAAGTAGGAACCCGGTTGTTAGTCGATTGGCAGATTGCTTTTTTGGGGAGTAAAAATCCCTTCAAAAAAAAAAATAATAATTTGATCATTCAATCCACGACTGTTTGTGGGATTCTGCTGTGCGCAATTGGCTGCCGCGTTTCGCCCACAAAATATACAGTCAATTCACTTTAAGTATATTCTGTGAAACGCTTTGAGACGTCTCGAAGAAGTGATAAGGCGCTGTGTCAAATGCAAGGATTATTATTATTTAAATAGCACTCTTCACGTGGTGTTATGTCTCTGAGGACCTTACAAGGCTGCGGTTGGATTCCAAGTAGGGGGTGGGTGGCCCTTGATACATTCGAAGAGGAAGTATTTGAGGTGGGAATTAAAGATAGAAAGAAATGTGTCAGATGGATGTTCGGGGTGGGAGTACAACAACTTGCATTTATGTAGCGCCCCTCACGCAGGGTAGCGTGACAGACTATGATGTCGAGCTGGGGGGAAAAGGTGGTGACCATGCATATGGTCGAAGAGGAAGGTCTTCAGGCGTGACATGAAAATGGGAAGGAGGAAGTTGAAGTTAGGGGCACAGCAACTGAATGCTCAGTCACTGGTGGTGATGCAAAAGGGTGAGGGATGGGCAACAAGCCTGGGTTAGCTGAGCGGAGGAGGCCAGCAGAAAAATAGGGAGAAGAGTAGAAAGGATGAGATTTGAGGAGGTGTCAAAGAGTAGTTGGATTTACAGGTGAGAGGGAGGACCTTGAAATTGACCCACTGGGAGACAGGGAGTCAGTGGTTACTGGTGAGGACTAGGATGATGAGTGAGTGAGGACATGGGCAGTGGAGTTTTGGAAATACTAATGTATCCTGAGGAATAGATTTACATAATGAGTAACATGTTATACAGTATATAGTTTTGGGACGTGACATGTGCATGCGACTGCCACGATGGTGGAAGGCGAAAATGAATGCACCTTCTTGGTCTTCTTTCGCCTAGCAAATTCTTATATTCTTATATTCTTGTTGGGTAAAAATATTCAAAACATTAAATAATAATAATCCTTGCATTTGACACTTGCCTTATCACATTTTCTAGATGCCTCAAAGCGCTTCACAGAATATACTGTAAAGTGAAGTGACTGTATATTTTGTAGGCGAAACACGCAGCCAATTACACACAGCAGTGTCCCACAAACAGTGGTGGATTGAATGACCAAATTATTATTATTATTTTTTTGAAGCGATTATTATCCCCGGAAAATCGATCTGCCAATTGGCTAACAACCGGGTTCTTAGGTAAACAGAGGGTGGAATAAGGAAACTTGACCAATGTTTCGCCCTGCCCAGGAATCAATCCCAGGTCCTCTGGCTTATAACCTGTAACATACATGAATGGTAATATTTTAGATGTTTACCACCTGTTATTGTAAGTAAAGTGTCACCATCGAGTCATAGATGAGCAATAGGAGAGTGATGCTGGTTAGTACAACAAACATAATCCCTCTGCTGCAAAGACTATAAAATAACATTGCACAACGTTGGTTGGTTTCTTTGCCAGCACAAAGTTCCGAATATACCTCCTTACTGCACTGGATCAGGACACGTTCAGGCCAGACCAGCAGCGCTTGTCCATAGACCAGCGTCAGTGCCAAGTTGGCACAAATGATTCCTAACTTGATCTTTAGTTCCGACACTTCCGAAGGAATCAGAAACGTGGCGGCCTTTATCACGGAAATGACGTGAGCTGTGAGGTAAAACCAGGTGGTCGAAAAGGTTCCGCTTTCTTCAGACTCCCACAGCAAGAACAACAAAATGAAAGAAAACGTCAGCTTCAACCCATATGTGGGTTTCGGTGTAATGACAACCAGTCCTTGTTGTGTGATCCCACGCCTAGTGTAATGATGGTCCAGCCAATACACTAAGCAGGCCAAGCATGTACACACAGTTGAGGCCACTGTAAACCTCAAGCTGTTCAGCCAAGGTGGAATAGGTTTAATATGGTACTGGCCAGGTTGAAGCAACATAGCTATCTCAATCAGACTGATCATTTGCACAACAGACCCTGCAGTGAATGTCACAGCAAGACTGAAGACGCTCACTTCAGTGAAATGTGACAGGAGGTGACACTGGTCCTCACCCGTGCCAGTCTCCAGGAAAAGAATGATGCCATTCATTGTAATGCAAAATACCGCACAGAGAAGAGACAGCACGGTCCATGCAAAGTCAGATGGACCTTCCTGTGTAGTTAGCAGAAACCAGACAAAACTGAGCAGTAGCTCCAGCCAGCGTAAGATTAGAATCCTCTTCCTCAACACATCCATACTGAAAGCAGAACGGCTTTAAAATAGAGTGAATGACTACAGTACCAACTCGCTCTGTTCCGCTTCACTTTAGAGTCTTGCAGAGTCCTGTGTAAAATTGTTTGACTTTCGTTCAGCACTGCTATTTGCCTTTATGTTTCTCCTTCACACTGCTGTGATAAATGCAAACCTGGCACCCAGTGGTACTGCTTTTATTGGCTTATCAGATGACCTTTCATTCAATGCGGCCACATTTGGATATTTTGGCAATCAGATGGGATAATTGTTTGCTGTCTATCACTTTTCAACACCAATTATGTTCTGGGGGATGTAATTAGCACTCTCCCACAACCAACCAACCAACGCAAATCAATAAAGCTAGAAATAAATTCTAGTTTATCGTGTCTTGTGAGGCAAATATTGTGCATTACACAGTGTATCATGAATGAGAAGATAAGTTACCATTGTGCATCCAGTTACTAGAGTGAATCAGGCATTGGTAAAAACAAAGTTTATTTATTGTTTTATATACTTATAGCTACACCACAACTATTGCAATGTTTGCCCTCGCAATAGAGACAATATTGAAGTCCAATTCCTATAACATAATAATAAGCCTTGCATTTGACGTAGCGCCTTATCACGTCATTGAGACGTCTCAAAGCGCTTCACAGAATATACTGTAACGTGGTTTGATTGTATTTTGTGGGCGAAACGCAGCAGCCAATTGCGCACAGCAATGTCCCATAAGCAGTTGTGGATTGAGTGACCAAATTTTTGGGGGGCGCGGATGAGGGAGGGAAAGTGATCCGCCAATTGACTAATAACCAGGTTCCTACTTACTGCTAGGTAAATAGAGGCGTGTGGAGTAAGGAAACTTGACCAAGGTTTTGCCCTGCCCAGGAATCAAACCTTTTGTTTGCGAGGCAAGCGGGCTCACCACTACACTACAAACATCTTACTACACTGTGTAAAATATTTCTTTTTTTCTTGAAACAATGCAATTGTTTTGTCTAAGGGAGCAATAGAAAAAGCTCATGAATATGAAAAGCTCGCTCAGACCAACAAAGTTACACTCAAAGAGAAGGAAGCTGTAGTTTACAAGGCTGGAATAGTGTCTTCTGCGATACAAGGTATGTTTGAGCTCTTACATGTTTCTGGGCTTCTAAGTCTCAAAACAGTTGGTAGGAGAACGCACTTGGTAAGAGGGACTTTTTATATATGCAGTTACACCTGATTTCTTTAACTCTTCCAGAGATTGATGCAGTATGTGATCACCATATCACACACTGTATTTTCATTCACGTTATTTTTTAAAATATGTCATGTGCTTTTTTCTGTGACTGTCATAGAACTTAATTTATCGCCCAACTGTAGAAGGGAGATTCACTGTACGTAATCCTGAGGCTGCATTGATTTTCTCTGGTCTCCCCCCTATCTCTGCGACCTCCTAATCCCCTACCACCTTGCCTGTTCCCTCCACTCAGGGGGCTCCGTCCTGCTTCATGTCCCCTGGCGGGCGGGCTTTCTGCCACTCTGCCCTCACTCTTTGGAAGTCCATCCCACAGTCCCTTCGCCTCGCCTCCTTCAAGACCCTCCACTTCGCCCATGCTTTCGATCACCCTGTTTGCCCCTGCCCTCCACCCTCCCCAATCCCGACCCCCAGCTCAGGTCCGAACACTGACTGTCCAGCGCCTTGGGACGTCTTCACCAGGCGAAAAGCGTTACGCAAATATGATTTTGTTGTTGTTGAAGTGTGCCCGGGTTCCTTGGGAGTGGAGGGAAGATAAGTGAATTGATAAGCTGAATTGACTCCAAGGTGACATGCCTGCTAACGGAATATCGGAATCACGCCAGCCCTCTGCGGCGGTCCCCCTAGTCTGATTCCTGAGCCAGGAGGGTCCGATGACAGCACAGCCTGGCTCATCAGTAGGACTCAAAAGGGCAGACCGATCACTGTGGGTAGGGAGTCATCCTACTCAGCTCCTGTTAACCCTGTAAGACAAAGCCCTGACGGGTAGGTTATTCCTAGCTGAACAAGCAGCGGAAAAGCTTGCCAGACAACGATATCAATGGCAAGCTATGCAGTTTTAGTTGGTTAGACTCCGGCAATAACCAAGCTGAGAATTCCATGTATCCCACCTTCACATAGAAATCCCAGAGCTAGATTGTTGGAACGGGATGTGCACTCTCTCCCTGGAGGGCCGCATCCTGCTCACCTAATTCTAGGAAGTACTAGGCACAGGTTGATAAGAGCCAAGGCTTGGGGTCCGCAGAGTGTGCGTTGGGGTAACTCCTGGAGTCTAACCAGCTAAAACCACAAAGCTTGCCACTGATACCCTTCTAACCCTACCGTTTTGTGGTTGTTGTAATTAACCATGTATTTTTAAGTCAAAAGTACAGCATTGTCCATTTAAATGTACCAACTCTTAATATTTTTAGTCTGAAACTTATTTTAGATATTTTTTAAAGAAAAATGAGTCTGAGGAAACTGGAATCAATAGATAGAAGTTGGATTTTAATTTCTGAAGCTTGGACTATTATAAAAGAGAGATTGTTTTGAAATTCATGCATTTGTGAAGTATAAAACGGTGACAGGCTTGCATTTATACATTCGAAACTCTCTCCGGACAGCTGTATTTCCCATTGAATAACTGCACTGGTTTGTTTTCTGTGACTGCAGCTGAAATGAATCATTTTAACATGGAGCTCAGTAACGACTACAAAGAGACGTTTCGACATTTTCTCTATGAACAGGTTCAGATGTACAACAAGGTAAATATCTCAGCTGGATGGCTTGGCTCCAATTCTGTCAGACTCCGCCACTGTTAAGCGCTCCGAGACGCTACCGTGTGTGAAGGGCATGATATAAACACAAGTTGTTGTTGCTGTTCTTGATTGACATTGATTTTGATTTGTTGCTCTCATAAGCCTCTTAAAATTACCTCCGTCTTCTAATAAGAATGTTAAACCTCCAGTTAAACAAGTTTCTGGATTTGTTCTTTGTTTTCTGACATATTAATTCTCAAAACAGTATCTTAATTTACAAAGGAGCAGATATGTCTATAATAATTATCCTTGCATTTCATGTAGCGCCTTATCACATTATTGAGATGTCTTAAAGCACTTCTGAGAATACACTGCAAAGTGAATTGACTGTATATTATGTGGGTCAAACACTGCAGCCAATTGCGCACAGTAGTGTCCCACAAACAGTTGTGGATTGAGTGACCAAATTATTATTTCCAATTGTCCAATAATAATAATAATCCTTGCATTTGATATAGCGCTTTTCACGTCAGGAGGACGCCCCAAAGCGCTTCACAGAACACACTGTAAAGTGAATTGACTGTATATTTGTGGGCAAACGCGGCAGCCAATTGCGCACAGCAATGTCCCACAAACAGTCGTAGATTGAAAATTACCAATTTATTATTGTTTTTGGAGGGATTATTATTAGGCTCTGTGTGGAGTAAGGAAACTTGCCCAATGCTTCGCCCTGCCTTGGAATCGGACTCAGGTCCTCTCACTTGCGAGGCGAGTGCCCTAACCACTAAGCTGTAGGACTCCACAATTTATCTGACATAGAGCCTTATCATATCATCAAAATATTTCAAAGCACTTCATGGGATTTACTGTAAAGTGTAGTGACTCTGCATATTCTTGGTGAAATTGTCAAACAATATGTGCGCAGCACTATGAGCTCAAAGTCTCAATGTGGGGATTGAACCCACAACCTTCTGACTCAAGAGGCGAGAATGCTACAGTATCAATTGAGGCTGACACCTATTTGTGGTAAATGTTAGAAACATTTAGCTCCCACAAAGTCAAGATAGACAAAGAAAGATCACCTTTCTTTGGATTAAAACAAAACGATGACTGTTTCTTTAGCAGTTACTCTGTTTTAACGATTCACAAACAAAAAAATCGGTGTGCAATAGCACAGATAAACCAACAAATTTATCAGTCGAGTGGATAACGTGAACTACTACCGTGTATGTTTATAAAGTGACAAAATAAACAATCAATTCATTTTACGGTATCTTCTGTGAAGCGCTTCGAGCCGCCTCGAAGATGAGATAAGGAGCTATATCAAATGCAAGGATTATTATGTTTGATCCTGTATTTGCTTGTCATTTTCATGCTCACCAGAAATATTTTCAAAATAAAAAGGCTTCTGAAAAATGGTGAAGTGTTTCCACCAAATATGAGGTGCATTAAAGCACATTCTACAATTCAAATGGCGAATGCAAAATAAAATCGATTTTAATATAAAATAAAACATTCATTCGCTGTTCCTTCATTCATGGGTAGTATTTTCTGTAGAGCATTTGCTATGCCTTGGAGTCTTGTAGGGTAGTGGTTAGTGCCCTCACACTGTAAGTGAGAGGACCCAGGTTCAATTCTCGGGCAGGGTGAAACCTTAGGCAAATTTTCCTTACTCCACATGCCTCTGTTCAGCTAGCAACAAGTAGGGACCTGGTTGTTGGGTCGATTGGTGGATGGCTTTCCGGCAGTGATAATCCCTCAAAAAATATTTGGTCACTCAATCCACCACTGTTGGTGGGACACTGCTCTGCTTGGCTGCCACGTTTCGCCCACAAAATATTCAATCCACTTTAAGGTGTTTAAACGCTTTGAGATGGCTCAATGGCGTGATAAGGTGCTATATCAAATGCAAGGATTATTATTATGTATCAGAAGTTTATTTTTAGCCATCGCAAAAAGTAAATTGAAAACAATCCTGTGGAGTTTTGAATAATTGAGTCAGAGTGAAGAGTTACGCATTTGCCACAATCTTACAATTTTGTATTTATCAAGGTAAGAGATGTGATATGTAACGTATTGTTTGTGTGCCCACCATCCTGTTGCCCTTGTTTGTTGCTGTCTCACACTCTGTTGACATGGTGAGCAATGAGTTAACTGATATCGTAAATCTTTCAACTTCCGCTTTGAACATCCCATCCATGGAGTACAAGTGTTTCCTATTCTTGCTTCCTCTATACTGTCGCTTGCAATATGTGTATTAAACTTCATTTTCCAGTTGTCAGCCCATATGCATACTCTATCAAGCTCTCTTAGTAAGATCTTTGCTGCTGTGCCTTCAGCCACTACGTCCCGAAACTCTGGAACTCTCTCCCTCAATTCCTCCGCCTTGCCTCCTCCTCCTGAAGACCTTTCTTTTTGATCGTGCGTACGGTCACCTCCCTCTTTCTTCCCCTGGTTTGTTGTCAGACTCTGCCACTGTGAATCACTCTGGGCACTACACCACGTGAACGATGCTGTATAAGTGCAAGTTGCTGTTATTGCACAATTGGCTGCCGCGTTTCACCAACAAAATATAGTCAATTCACTTTACAGTGTACTCTGTGAAGCTCTTTGAGACATCTGGAAGACTGGATAAGGTGCTGTATCAAATGCAAGGATTATTATTATTATTGTTGTTGCTGCCTCCACTGATTCCACAGGTTTGATCATATCCTTCCTGAACACCCATACTATGATAGCATAGCAATATCATTATACTCTATTATTATTTTATTATAGCATTTTTTCGAAAAATGAATCCAGCATCCTGGTATCAACCACCGTTCCTGGTAACCCTATTCGAGTCATTAAATCTTGAAGTTGTGATAAGGCACTATATCAAATACAAGGATTATTATTACTCTCTGGGGTACAAAAAAATACTTGGTGTCTGTCCTTAAATTATCCTTTGTATCTTCGAAGCTGTGGCTACTTGTTCCACTGTTTTGGTGCATCTTAAACCAGGTTGGTTTCAAGTTTAAGCTTAGGTGAATGACAAAAAATGGAAAGTAAACCACTGCTGGTTCCTTTACTTCTATTACACTCGCATTTAATCATAGAGGTAACGAGGTGCCAGGCATCCCTTCATGCCCTTGCACCTCTCTACCTCTCCGACCTGCTTACTCCCCAACCCACTATCTCCGCTCGACTGGCTCCGGCCTCCTGCATGTCCCTCGTGCCCTCCTTTCCATTAATGGCTGTGCCTTCAGCCACTGCTCCCCAAAACTCTGGAACACTCTTCCTCTATCTCTTTTCCTATCTCTTCACCTTGGCCCCACCTTCCCCATCTTCAGGTCGTGCCTGAAGACCTTCCTCTTCAACCGTGCCTACGGTGACCTTTCCCCCTGGCTCCGCGTTGTGCTCCGCCACTGTCAAGTGCTCTGGGTTGCTACCCTGCTTGAGGGATGCAAGTTGTTGTTGTTTATGCATGTCTATCATTCTATGAAGTGTATGAGCAAAAACCCAAAGCTTATGGTTCACCAATGGTTGGATCAGGTTCCCAAAATGCATCGAGTTTTTTTTTGTAGATATAGAACAGAACTAATGTACAAATTCTAACACCCAAATCATTTCTCTTACAGATCACAGATAAGCTGAGGGAAGCATATGCTCGGTTTGAATTCTAGCAACGCCTGCAAAAGACTTCATTAAAAAATCTCCAAAAATGCTGTACTTATAGATCATGCTGTTTTATAGTCGAATGGTAAACAAAATAATTGTAAAAGCCAGCTTGAAATTAGTTATTAATGTTGCTTTAATATTGAGTAATTTTTTTCTGAATTTCTTTTCTTCTATACATTATTCCAGAAAAATTAAGGTATATTATATGCACCCTTGGCACTGAGCAGAGCTCACTCAATATTTCTAGTGAGGAAGATAAACATAGCAGATGAGTCATCTTTTATCTCTTACCATTTACCACGCAGAGGCTCCGGCCTTCTCCATATCCCCACCCCCCTCACCCCCGCCTGGCCTGCCCCACCATCTGCGGTCATGCCTTCAGCCTCTCTGCCACCACCCTTTGGAACTCCATCCCAGTCCCTTCGCCTCGCTCCCTTCCTGGTCTCCTTCAAAGCCAGTCTCAAGACCCTCTTCTTTGACTGCACCTTGTTATTTTTGAATAAGTAGTGGAATGGAAATGGAAAGAGACAAGTAAATGAAAGTAGAGGGGGAGGGGAGAGAGGGGAGATGGAAATGTAAAGGGAAAAAAATGGCAGATCCCTGATAATGGCTGGCTGGCTCCTGCGATGCTTGAGAAGTGCTCTGGGACAAGTTATTGTTGTTGTTGATGATGGGAACAGATGTCTTTCTTATTCCTCATCCCAATCTTGATGCTTGCTCACAAACTGAAAAGTTCAGTGTTTACTGGAACTCGAGTTATTATTAATATCTGGAAATACAGTCAGCCTTTCCCCCTATATTTGGGGCCAATTTTTTGGGCTAGATATTTGACTCTCCTGTTCTAATGACATCACTTTTCAGGTGCAAACAAATCATAAAATCCTAACCAAACACTCGCTCAGTATCAAGTATTAAAATTGTAGAATCTTGCAGCACGGAAGGAGGCTATTCGGTCCATCGTGTCTATGCCAGCTCTTTGGAAGAGCTATCCAACAAGTCCCACTGCCCCGCTCTTTCCCCGTAGCCCTGCAATATTTTTCTTTTCAAGCATATATCCATTTCCTTTTTGAAAGTTATTATCGAATCTGCTTGCACCACCCTTTCAGGAAGTACATTTCCGATCGTAAATCTCCTGGTAAACAAATTTCTCCTCATCTCCCCGCTGGTTCTTTTGCCAATTATCTTAAATCTGTGCCTTCTGGTTACCGACCCACCCGCCAGAGGAAACAGTTTCTCCCTATTTACTCTTCTCAGTTAATAGTACACTATCTATTATAATAACAGCTTGCATTTACATAGACCCTTCAGGCAGGGCAGCATCTCCGAGCACAAAATTATATTCAGAAGAGTATATAGAATTCGTAGAGAATTTCCACAGAAGGTGACCTTTCAGTCCAGTGACTACGTGCTGTTGCTGGCTCCCTCACTGGTGCCATCTGCTGTCATCTCAGTCATCTGTTTTTTTTTGCCCGCTTTTTTAATATCATTTGCAGACTCAGCTTTTTGTTCAAAAATTCATTGTAAACACTGTACTTATAGATCCCAATGCAATTTTACAGATTTCAACAATGATTTAAAAAAAATCGAAGGTATTTTGGGTTAGTGAAAGAAAACAAAGTGGACAATTGTCAAAGATTGGTAAAATGATGATATAGCATCTGTTCCCATGTGAATTTTCCAATCTCATTCGGCTCATCCAAGAGATTCTAAGTTGCAGTTAAGATCCATTCATTCCACTTGGAGGGAGGAAATAATAACAATAATAATCCTTGCATTTGATATAGCCGTTGAGACATCTCAAATATAGTGGGCTCTACTAAAAGGTGCTCAAATTCAGCTGTAGAGGAACCTAGACAGAATCCTGAGGAAACTCCTGACTGGAGCAGTGTGCGGCATGAGGGATTCTAATGAAAGGAAAATAAAACAAAATGAAACCAGTGATGGGGTCAGGAAGGAATTATGAAGAAAACGTTTACTTTTAACGAAATGAATAATGCAGATTTAAAATCTTTTACTAAATATTTTGCTTCAATCACTCACTGGCTGTTTTGTAAAAGGCATGAAATAAACTATCAGTGCTTAAATTGTAAATATTTATAGTTAAGTTAAGCTATTTAATAATTGTCACATTTATGTGCTTTGAACACTTTGTTACTGGTTTCACTCATTTTCAAACTTTTATATATTGTTGTATTGTGAATTATAATAGATACAACACTTTGTGCTTTGTTCCTGCTATGAGTAAAAGTTTTTATATTTTTGCAACATTTTATAGCAGTTGTATTTCTTGAGATTTTCCCCTTCCCTAACTCAAGGAACTGAGGTCAGTTGTTGTTACAATTGTACTGGCCTGGATAAGGTTATTTAACTCAACACAGACCTGGAATCAAACCAGGAATCTTTCCAATTTTTATGGTTCAGTGTTTAGTGGCCACAGAACACATTTCCATCTATCCTCATTCATTGGGGGGAGGTAACCAAGGTCTTCTTGAAGTTAACTGGAAACTGTACTTAGGAAAGAAATGAGGGAACTAAGGTTGGAACATTAGCTGTTACATTTTCACAGAATAATAATGAAACATCATAATGATTTTTTAAGGAAGTTACTGGAAAATAAATATCTGGTTCTGTATAACAGACTGAAATCTAAGTAACCCAGGAAATGCTCCCAAATAAGGCATAAATAATAAAATGATAAAGTTCCATATTCTCCCCAAAGCCATCCAATTTAAATGTACAACTTCCCAATGGTTCTTTAACGGCAAGGGGAGTCCTAGTAGAAGAAATATGAACCAGTAGGTGGCAGCACTAAATCAGTTATTAATATTGGTGTAAAAAATATTGTCTTAAATGTTTTGTTTGAATCATTTAATTCCAATTTGAAAGTATTTAAGGAAATGAGCTAAATCACAACGCTCCATATACCAGTCTTGTGAAGACTCCTTGCAGGTGGTTTACAGGGATCACTGACAGAAGATTAATTGGAGCATGTTGTCTTCTGATCATCCCAATGTTAGAAAATGCTATATGCATGGCACAGGGGCAAACCTTAACAGACGGAAGACAGCTTTTATATTAAAAAGTGTTATCTCCAGTTTAACTCCCTTAAATCCTCCTTCAATCACTTGCTTTTTAGCCCTTTTCCTTCTCTTGAGGGCAATGACTTCTACTGAGATATACACGATAGCTGTAGTTAAATTGTGTGTGTATTAAATTGAGGACTGACTATCGGTGTATGTGTGTGTGTGGAGTCCTGTAGAGTTTTGGTTAGAACACTCACCTCACAAGTGAGAGGATCTGGCAGAGCAAAACGTGAGGCAAGGTTCCTTACTCCACACGTCTGATAACCTCGCAGTAAGAAACTCTCTGGGTAAGTAGGAACCCGGTTGACAGTCGCTTGACGTATCGCATTTCGGGGCGGTAATAATTCCTTCCAAATAAATGTTTTTTAAAAATTGGGTCACTCAATCCACAACCTTTTGTGGGACGCTGCTGTGCGCAATTGCCTGCTGCATTTTGCCTACAAAACATGCAGTCAATTTTCACTTCACAGTATATTCTGTGAAGCGCTTCGAGACGCCTCGAAACCTGATAAGGCGGCTATATCAAATGCAAAGATTATTATTATTATTATTATTACTAGTAAGATTAGTAGCAGTAGTATTCTAAACTGGGATTCACTAAGATTAGTATTATTATCGTTATAAACTGGGATTCACTAACCTTGGAGCTGAACTGCCTTTTGCATTTTGACTCATTATTATTTTCTTAAATACGTCGAGTGCTTTTTCCTGTGACTACAGTACAACTTAATTGATCGGCCAACTGTAGAGGAGGGGTTGTGGGGAGGGGGTGGGGAGGGGGTGGGGGGTGTGGAAGAGAGATTCACTGAACGTAAATAATCACTGGAGGCTGCATTGAATTTTTGCTCTGTTGTGTTAAATGTGTATCCCGGGCTCCCTGAGAGCGGAGGGATAGAAGGTAAGCGGTGGTGGTGGTGTGTGTGGGTGTGTGTGAAGGGGGAAGGTTGGGGGGGGGAAGGTGTCGGGTCTCCTTTGGAGCTGAACTGGCTGCGAGGTGACATGTTTGGCCTTCCCGTGTGACGGTCTCTGGGGCCGCTTCCTGAGCGGGGCGGTGGGGGCTCCTGTTAACCCTGCAAACCAAAGCCCTCAACGGGTAGGGTGGTGCGAGCTGGATGGGTGGGGGGGAGACTCGCTAACCGCTGGTGTGTTGTTGTTGTTGGTGGTGAGTTGAGTCGCTCACCCCAACCGACCTTCATTTTTTTTCCCCCACCACCACCACCAGCACCAAACCGCCGCCTCGAGCCGGAGCCGAGGACGCCGGAAGTGGAGCGGCGCGAGCGCGCCGAGAGACGGCGGCCGGGCTGCGGTTGCCAGGAAGTGACGCGCCGGGTCCACGGCTGTTCCGGCTCGCGCCGGGGCGGGTCTGTGCGGGACGGAGAAGGGAAGCGCAGGAGAGGAGGTCGCTGTGCTGAGGGGAGAGAGAGAGAGAGGGAGGGAGAGGGGAGACGGTGGTGGGGGGGCGGGAGCGGCGCCGACATCAACCTCAGGTTTGTTGTATTCGCAAACAGCTCTTTAAAAGCCGAGAGCCGGAAACCGGGGGGGGGGGGGCGTGTGTGTGTGTTGTGTGGGGGGGGGGGGGCGTGTGTGTGTGTTGTGTGGGGGGGGGCGTGTGTGTGTGTTGTGGGGGGGGGGGGGCGTGTGTGTGTGTGTTGTGGGGGGGGGAGAGGGGGAAGCAGGCGTTGGCGAGCAGCCTCCCTCCCCCCCCCCCCCCCATGACCTCTCTGACTCCCTCTCTGACCCCACCTCTTCCTCCCCCCCCCCATCCCATCTCCCCCTCCCTCTCCCCTTCCCCGCTTTCTCCCCACACCCCCTCCTTTCTTCTGCCCCCTCCCCCACACCCCCTCCTCCCCTCTCTCCCCCCTCCTCCCCCCTTCACCCCCCTCTCCCCCTTCTCTCCCCTCCCTTTCTCTCCCCCCCCTCCTTTCTCCCCCCCCTCCTTTCTCTCCCCCCTTCCTTTCTCTCCCCCCTCCCTTTCTCTCTCCCCCCCCTTTCTCTCCCCCCCTTTCTCCCCCCCTCCCTTCCTCTGCCCCCCCCTCCCTTTCTCTGCCCCCTCCCCCCCTCTCAATCTCTCTGCCCCCTCCCCCGTCTCTCTCTCTTCCCCCTCCCCCTTCTCTCCCTCTCTCCCTCCCCCCCCCCTCCCTCTCTCCCTCCCAGCTCCCCCCCCCCCTCTCTCTCCCCACCTCTCTCAAGTTGTTGTGGTGTCGCAGGCTGTGTGGGTCTTGGAACTGACAGGTCCGAGTCAGGCGATAACTGGGGCTATAGGCTATAGCTCACCACTGGGGCTTGTTGTCAAGTACAGTGAATGCAAACGGGATTTCCATTGCCCTGTCCGCCTTTACGTGGGGGATTACCTTCAAATACCTTTTAATTTTGTTTTGCTGGTGGGTATTAATATTGTCTATTGTGATTTGCCCTTGAAGAAGGATGAGAGAAAGTAGGAGATTATCCTCCACCGGGTGTATTTTAATTGCGTTTTAAGTTAACAGTGTACACCTTAAAAAATGCGTGCTGTTTTGATGGAGGGGAGAGCATGAATTCCATTGCTATAAATCAAAATGCAGAATAATGGCTGATTAAGAGAAAGAAGATTGACTCTTTCTTCGACCTTTAAAAATGTAATGCCAACTGATATTGATTGAAGATTGGTGCCTCCGTGACTTAACCATATACTGACAAATCTGATGAGGTGCTGTCACACTCTCTCTCTTACCTTTGCCTAGCAGGGTATTCGACAAGATGGCATTCAGTAAAGGATATCGCATCTATCACAAACTGGATCCACCTCCAAGTCCTTTTAGTGTGATGGTGGAAACCCGAAACCGTGAGGACTGTCTGATGTTTGAATCCGGAGCTGTGGCAGTTCTGTGTAAGTAGCAATTCAATAAAGCTTCAAGCATTAGTCTAGAAACAATTTGGTAAAAAGTGAGTCAAAAATGGCCAGATTTAGGGTTGAGCAATATATTGATTACTGACAATGGCGCAACTGTTTCTTCGTAAATATTATGCAATTGTCCTCGGTTCTAAAGACTTGTATGATCTGGATTCACTTAGGATGTTCAACTAGCTATTCAAAAGTAATACATTTTTTTGCTGGTAGTTTATAAATAGGCAGATCTCCTCATTCCCCTCCCTTTATGTACCAGAACATGAAATCGGTATCTTCTGTCTATTGAAATGAAGGTACAGATGGATTTATTGTTCTGATTGTTCAGGAGTCTTATAATATATAATGTGCTTCAGTCAGAAGTACTAATTTCCGTCTTACATTTTGAGTGAATTGTGTGTATTTATTGCACTTTGTGTATATATATATATATTGGGATTATAATTTAGTTGCATTTGACTAATAGTGTAGCAATCAATAACAACAACAAAATTACATTTGTAGAGCGCCTTTCACAACAACAACAACAAGATTCCATTTATAAAGCGCCTTTCACGTCAGGAGGACGTCCCAAGGCGCTGCACAGTTGGGTCATGACCCGAGCAGGGGGGAAATGGTCAGGGTGAGGGGAGGGGAGGGAGCGAGGAGGGGGGAAATGGTCAGGGTGAGGGGAGGGATGGGAGGGAGCGAGAAGGGGGAAGAGAGTCGAGAGGGGAGCTGAAGGCTCGGTCAAAGAGAAAGGTTTTGAGACTGGCCTTGAAGGAGGAAAGGGAGGAGGCGGCGAAGGCACTGGGGGATAGAGTTCCAGAGCCTCGGGGCTGAGAGGCTGAAGGCCCGACCACCAATGGTAGGGCGATTGGGGCGGGGGACGTGGAGCAGACCGGAGCCGGAGGAACGGAGGGTACAGGTAGGTAGGGGGATAGTAGGTTGGAGAGGTAGGAGGGAGCAAGGCCGTGAATGGCCTTGTAGGTGAGGATGAGGATCTTGAATCAATCCTCTGGGGGATGGGGAGCCAGTGGAGGCGAGCGAGGGTGGGAGTGATGTGGTCCCGAAGCCTGGTGCGGGACAGTACACGAGCTGCAGAGTTCTGAATGACCTGCAGCTTGTGGAGGGAGGTGCCGGGAAGGCCGACGAGGAGAGAGTTCCCATAGTCCAGCCTTGAGGTGACAAAGGCGTGGACCAGAGTTTCAGCAGCGTGAGGGGTGAGGTAGTGCCGTAGTCTGGCGATGTTCCGGAGGTGATGGAAGGCGGTGCCAGTTGTGGTGCGGATGTGAGGGAGAAAGGACAGCTCAGGGTCGAACGCCGGGAGGACGTCCCAAAGCGCTGAACAGTCAGGTGTCGGGGCCCGAGCATTGGGGGGAGGGGTGGTGTAGGGGTGAGGGAAGGCAGAGAGGTGGGAGGGAGACCAAAGGCACGGTCGAAGAGAAGGGTCCTGAGGCCCGCCTTGAAAGAGGCGAGGGAGGAAGTGAGGCGAAGGGAGTGAGTGATGGAGTTCCAGAGTGTGGGGGCAGAGAGGTTGAAAGCCCAGCCACCAATGGTAGGAGGGGTCGGGCGGGAGACATGGAGCAGGCCGGAGCCCGCTGAACGGAGGTAAATAGGCAGATCTAGGCAGGTTGGTAGGGCGTCAGCAGGTCAGGAAGGAAGGAGGGGCAAGGCCATGGATGGCCTTAAAGGTGAGGAGAGGACCTTGAACTCGATCCTCTGGGGGATGGGAAGCCAGAGGAGTTGGGCGAGGGTGGGAGTGAGCCTGGTGCATGAGAGTACACGAGCAGCAGAGTTTTGGATGATCCGCAGCTTGTGAAGGGAAGAGTTGGGAAGGCCGATGAGGAGGGTGTTCCCATAATTGAGCCTTGATGTGACGAATGCGTGGATGAGGGTTTCGGCAGCCTGAGGGGTGAGGCAGTTGTGGAGTCTAGCAGGCTGGCAACATCAAACTTAATATTGCTGCTGTTTGGGATCTACTCGTTGCTTGATTTTTGTCATCTTTTCAACCTTATTAGGGGGAAGGAGAGAATGGAATGGAAGCTGGGAAAGTGAATTATTGTTGTCTTAAGTTTGTGGTGAATGTGACCCTTGTTTATTCAGCAGCAATGCGGCTCCAGGGAAGATAGTGACTCATTCCTGATTTAATCTGAATGTCAAAGACGAATACAAATTTGAATTGCAACTGGGTATCATGGTGGGTTAGAACCTTATTCTTTCACTTGTTCATTCTGGACAATTTTAACTTGACCTACTGAATGGGAGCTTGCCTATCATTTTTTTTTGTATTAGACAAGCTCATTTAGAGATTTTTTGTAAGAATGTTTAGATAATACAAATGCCCCATAGATATGAGAGACAAGCTGTTCTGAGTTTGGGTTTAGGCATATTATTGACAGTCAATAAGGAATTCTGTATAAATATATTAAAGGTTTCAACAAAAAGAAAATGAAGGAAATCCACAACAGATTAATCAGCATCTGAATGAGCAAGGTGGTTTAACACTTTGGATGTGATCCTTCAGAAAGTTCATTCTGTAGCATGCTGTGCCCTTTTCCCAGCTTTTTACAAAAATATTTATTTCTGATTTCCAGCCTTGTTTTCCCCTTTTTATCTCTCCTGAACCACAAGTCACAATTTATGCTGGGAGCACAGCACACTGCACCATAAAATAACAAGGTCTGTTTCAAAGCAAAATCGTACTGTGGGTGAAAGTGCTTACAAAACAAATTAGTACCTTTCCTTGGTGTGTTCAGAATGCCTTAGTTTAAAAGTCTGCCCACATATCAGCGAGAAATTGTATTTACTGAGGTCTGCTGTGGTAATATTGCTTGCTGGCACAGACCTTTCGCCCATTTGTTTCAGTGGAATTAGATTTCTAAGTACAGTATAAGCAGTTTGTGTTTGTACAGATTGTAGAAGACTCATCAAAGTGAGGAAAATAATCATAAAATGTACAAGAAAACCTTAATATATTCTGTATTTGCTGTTTATTCTAATTTCGCTTCTCATGGCATTTATTTATCAGTTCTGGGACCAATTACTAACAGTACAAAGATAAATTTCTGATAACAGCAGTTCCTATTAAGCACATGTTGTAGGAAGGATTCTACTTTGCCTTATCGGGCATTGACATACTTAATGCTGACGTTTGTGCAAAGCTATTTCACTCAGTACTTTATCTTGCTTCAAAAGATATCAGAGGCGATGCTGTGTTATGTATTTATAGTTGAGTTTGTGGGTTTAATGCAAATGGCACTTGGAAAAAGGTCTTCACACTTGATGTGGCCTAATCTGTACCTTGGTGAGCTGGATGAGCCCACATGTTACTTTGCACCCACACACATCAAAATCTGTGACTTAACTCATTGCCAATAGAAAAACAAACCTGGTTCACCTTACTGTGCTGCTCACCTAGTCATTTGATAGTCAACATCTATTATTTTCATTATGCGTTATTTTTACACCCCTCTGAGTGTCAGTAAAATATTTACTGCAGTTCTTTCTATAACTCAATCTGATCTTTGGCCTTTGTGACGTGCGGAGCATGGAATTGTTCGCGAAGTAATCTGAAAAGAGAATGGCATGCTTTTCCAATTGTAAAGTACACGTTTCCACAATTCTGTACAATGCTATGTGCTATGATTACACTTTACAAACGTGAGAATTATTTTTTTTGTAGAATTTGTAGTAAAAGTCTCATATTTTCAAAGATTACAGAAGCCATTTAGTGCACTTTACCACCAGCTTGCATGCTCAGAAAAAAAGTAGATTTAATATCAGGCATTTTATTTTGCTGGCAAGCTCAACTATCTTTTGCTTCCTATCTTTCTGGAATTGGGGCATCATAGAGGAGGTAAATAGATCCTCCTGGGAATTGAAACGGTTTCAGGAAGACAAACCTGCCCAAGTCAGGTAGGCTTACATTAGGCGAAACCTTGGGCAAGTTTCCTTACTCCACACAGAGCCTAATAATAATCCCTCCAAAAACCCAAAACAATAATAAATTGGTCATTTTCAATCCACGACTGTTTGTGGGACATTGCTGTGCGCAATTGGCTGCCGCGTTCGCCCACAAATATACAGTCAATTCACTTTACAGTGTGTTCTGTGAAGCGCTTTGGGACGTCCTCCCGACGTGAAAAGCGCTATATCAAATGCAAGGATTATTATTATTATTATTAATCCAGGGCTCTGTGGATATGACAAGCCTCCTTCTGACTCCACAAGGAGAAATTATAAGCATATCTTCAGCTCTACTAGCCTAAGTCTCATTGGGTGTAAGGAAGTGTAAACATATTCTCAAGTCTACCGTCTAAAATCTCACTGGGTGCAGCGTCTTGCTGTATCAATACTGTAAAATTTACCAGTAATTTGTACTGATAAGCCATTAGACTATACCAGGGGATCTCAGACTTTATCACAGTGAGAGCTTCCCGCCAGGACACAGGGCCAACCCGCAAAGCCCAGTACAACTGAGAGGCGTGTAACCAGCACCTGTGCAGTCCTGTAGTGTAGTGGTTAGAGGACTCACAAATGAGAGGACCTGGGTTCGATCCTGGGCAGGGCGAAACGTTGGGCTCCACGTGCCTCTGTTTACCTAGCATTAAGTAGGAACCCGGTTGTTAGTTGATTGGTGGAATACTTTTCAGAGGGGTAATAATTCTTTCTAAAAATAAAAATAAATCATCTGGTCCCTCATTCCACGACTGCCTGTGGGACACTGCTGTGTGCAATTGGCTGCCATGTTTCGCCCACAAAATATGCAATCATTCACTTTGCAATATATTCCGTGAAGCACTTTGAGACGCCTGGAAGATGTGATAAGGCACTATATCAAATGGAAGGATTATTATTATTACCTCCCTTGACTCACGATCCCCAGGGAGGTGTGTACCACAGTTTCAGAACTGCTGCACTATTCCATACATTTGCTGTAACCGTTACCTGGTAAAGCTGGTGTTAGTACCGTAGTTACTAACATGATGTTTGTCTGATCT